AACACACATATATATATATATATATATATATATATATATATATATATATTCCTGCAATCACAGGAAAAATCAACCCACACAAATTGTCTTTTGCTTCCATAATTTGTTGTTATTTGATATAATCATTTGAGCCATTATATAGATATTCAAAAAAAATCTTAGAGATTAATAATTATGAAATAAATCAAAGAATTATTTCATAATCCTTAGATTTTCTATTAAATTTTATATTTTTATTTAATAAAAATAGAATTATCTCCATTAAAATCTGAACATGTATAAGGTATTTATAAAAGAAATGAATCTTAGATCATAAAATTTTCTACTTCAATTTATGATTCCAAACTCTCAAGTAATTCGAATCGACTATACTCTCCAATCCCAATATTATCATTTTATTTTTTAAAATAAAAATAAAAATTATATTCTCATGTGCATCCATCAATCATATTCTCATGATCCCATAAAACATCTTTTTCAACTGTAAGGTGGATTAATAGAAAATGATGGAATCATAATTTTGTTGTCTATATGGATACAGCAGAAGAAAGCCACTATTTTTTCCTTTGAGAAACACTGGAAACATTGGACCAGTGATGATTGTTCTCAGGAAACTCCACAGAATTGAGGATTTCCTTCACAAACCTCCAAATGCATGGAGTCATTTTAGGAGAAATTTTGTCTCTGTGATAGTTTCCACTAGGAATTATTGGGTTGGAAGAATATCAACACTTGTACCCTTCTGCTTTCAACAAAAGCTGCTTCTGCCATGTTCATCATATTTTCCATGATCACCTATAGACCTTTTCCCATAATTCTTGGTAGGAATTTATGTAACACATATCAGTAGGCTGTATAGGCTTGGAATCTGCATCAAAGAAGCAGGTAGCATTCAACACAGTTCTTCAGAATTGTGATGAATTTTTGGACCTAAATCATGGTTTGACTCCAATATCATGGTCATTCAAATAAGCTCCTTCTCTGTCATGTGCAGAGAAAATTATATCTTAAGCTCCTCTAGTAGTCTTCACTGAATCAAAAGCTTCTCTCTTCCACATACACTGTATAGTACTTCTTTAAAGAAAACAGATAAGCATCTGCACCACATATCTTGCATGACCAGTCAACAACTTAAATATTGATTTGACTTTTTGATGGTGATTCATTTTAATGTTTCTGACAGACCAATTTAAGCAACTATAGCACAATAATCCAACTTGAGCAATTTTCAAAACATAGAACAGTTGTCCATCAAATTCTACTGCAGAGGTAGTCACTAGAAGTACACAGATACACAACTCATGTTTCTTATCATATCTGATACTGAACATTCACTAAGCAGAGACTGTCTGATTCCTTTTACACAGTGGTATACCTAAGTATAATGAAGTGGGAGTTTGGTGCCATGAAGTCTTTGTTCCAAGTTTCAACCTTCAACACTACAAAAGGAGGTTGCAGTCAATAACTCTCTTCATTGAACATGAGGTGAGGAGGAAGAAGAAGAAGAAGAAGAAGCAACAGGGATCAAAGTTGACTTCAAGCCTTGTACTGCAGACAATAAGGGAGATGCAGTTTCCATGACCAGTTCAAAGCTCTTAAAGTGGTGGAAATGGTTGGTAAGACTGCAAGGCTGACTGCATGATGTGTGAGGAGATATAGAATATGTGCAGGAATCACATGCACATATTAAATGATAACATTATCTATCATAGAGAGACATAATTTAAGCTGGATTGAGATGAGCATGCAAAAAAAAAAAAAAGGCCTTCAATATATATATATATATATATATATGACAGAGAGAGAGAGAGAGAGAGAGAGAGAAATAATTCCAGCTTTATGGGTTTAATTGATTATAGCTTATATTCTTTTAGCTCTGTAAATTCTTCTTGTGGATATTAGGCTTCCTAATTCAAGCTGAATAGGAGTTTAGTTTAGTATCTAATATATGTATACATAGAATTGAGAAATAGGTTATGAAATAAACCTATTCATTAAGGAGATGAGTATTTATACCGAGGGAGAAATTTTTCTTAATCAATCACTAAAATAACGTAATCAAATTAGCTCTTCAAATTTGTGATTAATCTCCAAATCATTTTGAATATAAAAAAATAAAGATATTACATGTGTGTCTCTATCATGATCTTCTATCATGTTCTATCATTATATATACTTTGTTGGATATGTTAGTAAAAATTTTGATTACTTGATAATAAGTTCTTCGAATCAAATATTGTCTTCACTTTTTACTCTTTGCATCATATAAACAATTTGTCAGATACAAATTTAGCATCTATATCTAACGAACTAAAATAAATATAACAAATTCATATTTAAGATCAAATTAAGATTAGATTCAAGTTTAGATTTTGACTATAAAAAATAAATTTCTTAATGAGTCAAGCTAAGCTGTGTGAGTGTTTTTGTATATGGGTCTTTTGAACTAAACATTATTATAATTTTATCGGTGTTTGTCATAAAAATTAAAAAAAAGTAAAAACAATAATATCAATAATAATAATAATAACAATAACAAGCCATAATAATATTATTATATGGATCCTCAACTTTGGCTATTGAAAAAGATTTGATACATTGTTTATTACTACTCAAAGCTTACTCTTCTCGCAATTTAATCATAGGAATGGCAATGTACCACTTGAACATATCAATTCACCTACCATGGATACATACATACATACATACAACCTTGTGGCCATGGCTGTTCTCCATGAAACCAACCACACTGTGAAGGCCATGTGTTTGTGGACATGCTCTGTCCCCCTCTCAACCCTCTCCTGTCTCCAACAATTGCTTGGCCACCTCACCCCACTGCTCCCCTTTCCATTGCCAAAAGAGTTGACACCTCTGAGTTCATTCCACAAACATCAACTTCAGACTGCTACGCTGCATTCACATCTGTCTCCTCTCACAGTTCGTGCAAGTGTTAAAAGCTCACCCCTTGGAAAGTTCCCTGCGACTGCACACTACATCCTGGACGGACTGTAGCCCCTATCTCTTGTGGTGTTCGCTGCGAGACCTCTCCCTGTGCATCATGTGGAGAGCTCCATCATTGCCTCTGCACAGCAGCAACAACAACAACAACTGATGGAGACCTTTCGAGGTGGTGATTGATGGGCTTGTCGATGCTGCAGTGTAATGTGTATTGTACAACGTGGGCACGGATTCCATCTATGAGACCGCTCTTTGCACCACCACAAGCCTTTCTTCGTTCTAAAGTCCCCAGTTTCCGATCAAGCAGAGATATCCTACGGAGCATACACGAAGTCAGTCGATTGTGTTAGCATCTCCGATTCTGTGCCTGGATTTGGACTAAATCCACCGGACTTTAAGGTGGTGAAATCGATTAGTCTCGATGCAGATTGCTGGCCTAATTCTTTTGGCCTGTCTCGAATGGGATCTTTTCTTCTGTGAGCTTCTTCTTCTTTTGGTCAACGTCGTTCTCACACCTAAGTTTGTCTTGGAACAGAACTTAACGTCAAAGCTTCATATCAATCACGCTGCGCTCACAAGGAGACATCGAATCCTGGAAAGATATTTTTGGGAGACCCAGGATCTACCGCGGATCTTGTGTCGACCACGAGAGACGACATGCTTAGTCCACCTCAATTTGGAGAAGTAACTTTCATGTGGGAGGTGAAGTTTTCCTCCCACCGTTGGACGTGACAGCTGACACACAACAAATCCGTGGTTGGATTCTGACGACTAACAAAGGTTGTCTTCTCGACGAGAAAGAAGGTCTATAGCTGATCAATATAAACAGAAACAAAACTAGAATTTGGAACTTAAACTTGTAAGGATCGATCATTCAATCGGATAAGAATAGTGATCAGGATTGTGAGAGACGGATTGCGTTCCTCCTCCCCCATCCTCGCTGGATAGAGGGAGCATTAATTAGTCCTTCTCAGGCCAACGTAAGGTTTGACTAATTAACGATAAGAAGGAAGACGAAGTAGGAGCCCCAAATCCAATAAATGGACTTCCGATCGCATGAACAAAAGCGGCGACTTCTCACGCCGAGACCGCCGTTATCATCAATGCCCCCATCTCACCAAATCCCCGTGACCTCTGATCGGTCGTCGTCTTGGCCATCTTTCACTTACGCCCTTGTTGAGACTATAATTTTGTTCGACCCCCTTTATATGGGTTTGAAACAACGGCTTGTTATTGACGTTTGGGATACGTTGTGGAAAACTAATCTTAGTAAGGGTTAATATGTAAAAATCATTAGACGATGGCTATATATTTACGGGAAGAAAGAGCGGCGTCGACGGTTTTGGTGTCGATTCCTTTTCACCTCTCCCTTTCTGCTGCCGCTGCTTCTTCTCCTTCGGTCTCTTCTATCCTCTTCTTCTCTCCCTTTCTGCTGCTGCTGCTTCTCCTTCGGTCTCTTCTATCGGTCGTCTGTCCTCGAACCATGGTAAGCTTGGATTCGTGGGAATCATTTGAAATCTGCGTTTGAATTTGGTGGAGTTCTTTCAAATCTTGCGTCTTTATGCCGTGCTTTTTGGGCGAAGAAACGAATTGCAGTACCGTTCTTATGCTGGCCCGTGGTCTGATCATATTTTGTTCTGCGTTTAATTGATCAATAATAATGTTGTTTTCGGTAGATGAGATATTCATGAAGTGTTCCCCCTTCCAAAGCTTAGATTTTTCACCCTGGAGTTTCCTTTCCCCCCTCTTTTTATTCTTTGCTGCTCAGCTTTAATGGTTTTGGTCTGGCAAGATTTCATCGGTGAGGTGGAATAAGCAGGTCATTGTTTCTTGTGGAGTATAAGCTTTTACTCATGCCTGAGATTTACTTCCCTTTCAGTCTTCCATCCTAAAAAAAAATCCAGTATATTTTGCTTGAAATTTTGATTGGAACCTCCTCGTTTCAAGCTTGGGTTTGATGTTGAGAAGTTGCTTTCTCTAATGCCTGGTAAATTTTCACTACTGCGCCCATCGATAGTACGGTAATCATTTTCATCAAGCTCATTCTTGGGTCACTGGTCATCAATTACAACCTGTTTAGTATGATTCCTTATCAAGGAAATTGTAATCTTTCATCTAAGTGTCACCAAGCTCATACATTTGTAGCTTTCAAGAGAAAGACTGCTCGTGAGAAGACCTCAGTTGGTCACTTGAAAACACTGTCAAATTTGATAAAAAAATTAATTTTAGCACTGGATTTACTCAAGAAGTGGGAATATGTTCTGGTAAGGGGTGAAATTAATTTAATTGAGATACCAATTCTCGGCACCGTGTATTGCTATTCTGGTGATTTGGTCTTGCTTTATGGTTATGGCCTTCGTTAGTCCCCTTGTTATTATTCTCTAACTAAAGATGGTTATCTGCTGTCCCATTCCACTGCAATGATTTCGACATCTAAACAATTTGTGTGCTTACATGATGTGTATGATTTATTTTGGTCCAAACATACTGTTTGCCTTTTGGCTTGTGAAAATACCATAGCTGTACTGACATAATGCACTTTCAGGAGAAATGCATTACCTATTTGGAACATGTCAAGTTATGGAGAATTTACTAGAGTGGCATACATATTTATCATGTCTGTACCAGTGAATCAGATGGACTGAGTAGAACGAATGCAATGAACTGAGATGGCAACCTCACAGGTGAGAATCTTGTCACTTGTGATACACGCAGCATGACACAACCTTGATTATTTATCATGTGTAACTTTCTTATTTATCCATATACACTCTGTAGCCATGCTTCTCAATGGTTGAGTCTATTATTATCCTTGTATACCGTGTGGTCATGTTTCTCGCCTTTATATCTAGCTGCTCCACCAACTGAGAAGTGGCTACTGTGATTAAACATGTATACTTTTTTGTTAAACTGTTCCTAATTACAGTTGTTAAAATTCATGTAAACCATGAGAAATATCTCTTTGTTGTGCATCTGGGCTGAATTATCGAAGTATAGACAAACATATCACTTGTTCTTTCTCTAGTCACTAAACAATTTTTACCTATGTAAAAGGAGTTAAAATTCTGCAGGACCCGCAGATGGTAGCAGAAATGCAACCATCGTCACAGGATTCACATGACATACGAAATAACCATCAAAATACTTTAGTTACCGAGGCCTCAGGACAAGATCCAAGTTCATCAACCTTTGCAGATAGTAAAAGCAAAAAGGTTTCTCATGCTGACATTGAACTTGTAAGACATCTGGCTATTACTTTCGCCAATATATATATATATATATATATACAGATAGTTGAAACAGTAAGCCAAAGTCTTTTTCAATATGTTATTTTACCTACTCATTCCTTATAACTATTCATTCACTTGCAGGTCCAAAATCTGATAGAACGCTGTCTGCAACTGTATATGAACAAAGGGGAGGTGGTTAGGACCTTGTCTAACCGAGCTAGGATAGAACCTGGTTTTACTGCACTTGGTGAGTTTTGATTTTGGAAATTTGCTACTTATCGTATGCATTATCATGTTCCAATACTATGTTGCATGGTTTGCCTTATTGGTCCATACCGATGTACTGACTAGCTATTGGTATGGTACGTACCGAGCTGTATCGAGTTATATCAAGCATATCGACATACTGTATATGGGAGGCGTGCCAATGTGCCACTTGTACAGGTCTCCTGTTGGACCGGTATATACTGCCTATATCGAGTGGTACACTGTAGTATGGTGAACCTTGCTATGTTGTTTGTCCTTTCTGTACGTTTCTTTATCTAGTGACAAAATCTGAACAAATACATTTGTGTTTAGAGTGATTACAAAAAAAAACATTCATTGAAAGTTTTTTTCCTTCAATTTTGTTCTTGATGATATATTCAATGGGTTGTATAACTTTAGTTGAATTTGAAAATGGTCAGACTTGTTCTGCAAGCTTATGTTTGCAATTAAATGTGATAGTCATAATTGTAAAACATCAAGCCTCAAATATAAAGGTTGAAATTAGTGAATCTTTTTTTTTTCCTGTCACAAAGCCCTGTTGATAGCAATACTATCATATCTCTATTTTTGTTCCTAATAAAGTTTTCTTAGACCTTCTTATACCTTTCATTGCACTATTATTCATAAATTGTGTCCAATAAGTGCTTCTGTAATACACCTTTGGAAATGTTCATACCAACTTATTCCTCATTTTATCCACAATAAAGGCTGTTCCTAATTTTTGTAGATGTACATATCTCTTGCTCAATTATTTCTAGTGAACCCTTGCATCTCAATGTACGCTTCTGTCAATTAACGCTAATTATATCAGTATGCATCCTAGCTTTCATCGGAAATATATTTGGTCTGACGTACTATTTTAATTTTTGCAGTGTGGCAGAAACTAGAAGAAGAGAACCCTGAATTCTTTAGAGCTTACTACATAAGGCTAAAGCTGAAGAAACAAATTATTTTGTTTAATCAGTTGTTGGAGCACCAATACCATCTGATGAAGTATCCTATCCCTTTTAAAGTTCCACTGGTCCCGATGCAAAATGGAATTCATCCAGTGCATGGTGATTTCTTTCACTACAGACCCTGAAAAGTTATTAGCAATTAAAAAATAAATAAATTAGGTTTTTGAAGCTATGAATTTAGTGGCTTATTATTCATCTTGCTGACAGTATCGGGCATAAAAAAACTTGGAACTTTCAATGCTACTAGCTGTTCAAAATGTTATAGATGCTAACCATAACTCCTGACAATCATAAATTGGTGAAATAAACGGACTAGGGATAATTGACAAACTGGAGCTGTAGAATAAAATCAGAAGCTAAAAATTTTAGGGCAGGACCATCTTCAATTGAAGTAAGAAAGTACAACTACTAGTGAAACCACACTATAATCTTGTATATAAATTAGTGAATAGTGATATATACATATTTGACAACTACTTTGTTTAAAGCTGAATCTTGTTCTATCAGTGAAAATGTAATTACTTCCATATCAGCTCAATGAAAATTTATGTTTCTATTTGTAAAATTCCATGTCCAAATTTTTGTTAAGAAATCAATTGTCTGGTAAAGGCCACTTAACAATCTGACTCGTTTATGATGAATATGTGCTCTTACTATAACAAACTACCTATTTATGGGACAGTTCTGTAATTTCATAGCTTCATGTTTTTGTTGACAAAATTATACAGATATGCTTGTTCTTGAGAAACCATCTTTTCTTTATGCAATAATCCAAAATAAAAATAAGCACAGAGTCTCTTCTCACTCTTATCAATCTTATTCAATGTCAACCTCTCCTCAGTGCAGTTAACAATTTACCTATGGGGTACCCAGTTCTTCAGCCTCAGATTCTAACTACAGGTCAGCTTCATGTTGATCCTATGGCTTGTGGATTGTCCGACTATCATGTAGTCAATGGAATTCCTGCTCCAGGCAGTTCCCATCCCATCCGCATGAATACTGGAAATGAGTAAGCAAGGGCTTTTTTTTAGCTTTATAGGATTTATCAGTACTTTATATAATTCTTATGGTTTTAAAGAAACAGGGAGTAGGCAAGGAAAATTCCAATTTGTCCAGCATTAAGCATTTAAACCTAAAACTTAATTAAGTCTCATGAACAAGAAAAAGAAGAAAAGAAAAGAAAAACTTTAGTTGTCTTTCCTTCCATGGATATAGCATGAGATTTGAAGTTAATTTGTTCATGTATATGGTACTTATAAGAGAAAAATAGAAGTGATGAGTTTTAGCACCTTTAAGAAAGATTCAGACTGATCTAGCTTGTTGAATTATTTTTGCTTACAGGATGTTTTCATCTTAGCTAGTGAAAGATTGCTAATGAACTCGTCCATACTATGACTACTTCCAAAGCAAACATCAAATTATTCTAATTAAGTTTGACATTGAGGAAGCTTTTGATTCTGTCTCTTGGGATGCAATAAAATCTACCCTTCAACTCATGGACTTCTATGGATGAAATATTGTAATATTTTAATGAAGAGGTAAATTTTAAGGAGACAATTTTTTTAATTCTTCTATGATTTCACCAGCGGTGAAGTCATGCTTTTCTTCCATTCATTTATAATAAAATGATGGTATGTCTGCCCTCACTCTTTTATATAAAAAAGAAGAAAATTTGATTAAACAATAAATACTTTTTCACTCCTAGTGTGTGTTATTTATAATAGAAATTGATGCCAAGAAATGCATCTATCCATGTTGCTGACCACTGACTTAAACATAAACCTATTACATTGGTATTTGATCTGAAACTTGGCTTAATCATAAGTAGCATCACCGGTTTAATATATAATTCTAGAAAATGTCTACAGACTTTATGGCCATCCTTTCTTAGCATCAAGGACTTGTTATCATCTCTGTTACTGATATCCAACACATGATCCTTCAACATAAGGCCACTTTCAAATTTGATCATGTCCAAATAAATCACAGCCATATGTGTTCTTTTGTTTTATATTTGCAGTCTTATTTTTAAATCTCTCCACTTCTGAATCATTGTGATGAACAGTGACACATCTGAAGCAGCTCCTTTAGCACCTCAATGCAGTACAATGTCACCCATGTCAGAGATGGCTGTGACTTCTGCATCAGTAGAAAGCAATCAATTTTCATTCACTCCGTCTGAGATAACTATGGGAATGGATGCATCAGCCATCGATACAACCTTCACACCTGATGTTTTCAATACCGGAGGATTGCAACTAGGTGCAGATGGTGTTACGTCCTCAAAAGACTCAATCAGGTCATTAGGACAGCTTTGGAACTTCAGTCTTTCAGATCTAACGGCAGACATGACAAATTTAGGAGGTAACATTTTTGTTCCTTGAGTGTAAAATGCTATAATTTCTGTCCTTACAGGAGAATTCGTATTTTGATAATAATATTTTGAGACTCAAATGCAATATAAAAACACTGCTAAGCATGAGGTATTGCTGACTATTGAGGAGGAACAAAGAGCACATAGGAAAAACCTAATTGATAAAAGTTAAATGGCTAAATTATTTCGTATCTACATATTATTTAGATTAAAGAACTTGAATTTATCATTGATATAGGTTATCGAGTATTTAATCAACGGCAGTTCTGGTCAATGTTCTATGGGTTTTCATATGGGAAAATTGAAATGAAAGATCTTGGTTCAAGAGGTACTTGAAACTGAAACAGAGGATCTGAACTAGAATTTAATTTTTCATTGGGTGCTTGGTTACTAAATGCTAGCATACAGAATTAAATGATTCTACATGTAATTTTCTCTCCACTTTCTCTTCCTCGAAGTCATGTTTTGCACTGGATGAACTTCTAAACACATATTGGTTGTACAAAGTATGATCTCCACCTTTCCCTTCCTCAAAGTCATGTTTAGCACTGGATTAACTTCTAAAAGCTTATTGGTTGTACAAAGTATGATCTATTACTATTTTTTTCCTTTTTCTTCAAAATCATTTGGCCACATAAATCAATTAAACCGCTATCAATCCAAAAAAGTTATAACATAGCTTGTGTCCGATGATGTGGCATTTAAATTTGTGCCATTATCATAGGGGTTAACAGCAGATGTATTCATTTAAGATAGTAGATGTTGAAAAAGCATTAGAACTGATTGATGTGGCTTTTAGGTTGGCATCCATTCATATTTTGGATGATCGTTATTGGTAATGCATTTGTGTTCAGAGTCTTCAGACATCCATACCTGCACCTCTATGTTTGTTTTTTCTTTTATGGTAAACTCATCTTATGCTGTTGTAATTTTACATCAACTATTTCAGATTAATTTGAGTTTTCTGGATTGACTGAAACTGCTGCTAACTCGAAAGCACCAAACCTATCTTGATTCATCAAAATTTCATTAAAATATACTTTTTTCTGAGTCCTTTGTTATTTAAACTGTTAATCCAGATTTGGATTGGCTATAACTATTGAAACTTATCCAAAATGGTCAGAATGACTGGAACCACCAAAACTGTGAGATTTTTAAAACTGAAGTATTTTGTAAATTCTGAAATGACAAGAAAAATTGTGTAAGGTACATCCTGAGATATTGATATAATTAAATTATAGAATAAATATTCATCACTAGACTTACAACCAAAAAACCTAAATATACTCTTACTAGACTTTTTTAACTGATTACTGAGGCTCACCCCATACCAACTGCTACCTTTCTTCCTTATATTAACATGTTAGTGTTGTTTGATTCATGGAAGATTTTGGAGCTTTGGGTGGCTACTCTGGCTCTCCATTCCTGCCATCTGACTCAGACATATTGCTCGACTCCCCGGACCAGGATGATTTAGGTAAACAAACAGTCTCATTCTTTTTGAACTTGATCACTTAAATATTTATATCTAACATCACAAAGGATCCGATTTATGAGACAAGAGGAAGCTGCATGTCATTACGATATCTTAGGACTATAAATTAGGATGAAAATATGAATTAAAGTTGCATTCAAGCTCAAGAAAGCACTAACATGCTATGTTTGGCACTAATGTTTCAGTTGAGTACTTTGCTGATTCTATCACTGGGAAATGCTCGCAGTCAAATGAAGATAAATGAATCATGGGCATGAGTAAGGCCTCCTGCAAGTGGACTACCCACACCACAAATAGGCTGTAAGAGTAGCACATTGCTGGTTCTCAAACAGCTGTTAATGGCTAAAAATTAATGTATCTGGATAATTGCTGTATTTTACTGGCCTATGTTTCATATGACCAGGTTGACAGCAGGTTGTTGTTGGTTCTATTGTTAATAGATATTGACATGGAAATGAGTATATATTTGTAAAGCTTGTCTATATATTGTTCAAATTGCATAATTTCTTGTGTAACTTGACATCTTCAAATCTACTGTCTGAATAACTACAACATTATGTGCATAATTTAATGTATGTTGACTTTTTATTAGCAGGTATAATATATCACACAATTTAATGAAATATTATTTTGAAAATAAATATATTGAATGTAAAAAATTTAAGTATTAAGAGTTGTAGTTTTATTAACTCAGACTTAATAAATATTGGATTTGGATCACACTGATGGGCCATGCTAGATATGTGTGTTAAGTTAAGATCAACTCTAGATAGGTTAATAATTTCTAAAAACACTTAAGATAAAAATATAATACAAATGACTAAAAGTTTGCTGTTTCAATTTGGATATTGTACAATTTAGTCTTGGGGTGAAGATCCAAAGGAGGTGGATTAATTGAACATTTGTCATATGAAATGTGAGCCTTCAATACACATTTCAAATGTATTCTCAAACATTGAATCTTATTAGGTAATCCAAATTTAATTTTATTATAGAAATAAATGACTCTTTTTGATGGATTGAATTTTAATAGGTAATACTTTTATTTTATGTAACCGATTGTTCTGAATTATTTAAATTATAAGTATCTTTTTTAAAAGAAAAATTATGATGAAAGTCAAATGGAGAACCAAATAATATAGTATATGAAACATTATTAATAAATAAATTGAAAAAAATATATTTATTTTCTTATAAAAGATACTCTTTATTTGATTTTAGGAACAATAAAAGATTACAAACAAACCCTTCTCCAAAAGGAAATAAAATAAAATAAAATAAAATAAATGATCCACTTCTGAACCTCTCATTAAATGCAGAGAAAGTATTTAAACGACCAATGAAAGAGAGATTGCATAGTCAAATATAAAAAAGTCTTTAAATAAAAAAAAATTATGTCCCACCAACATTCGAACTCGGGTTGTTAGATTCATCGTACAATCCACTAAACAATACACAATGAGGCGGCACTATAAATGCCTTGCTCACATGTCAGATATATATTTTAGTCTTTAAATGATGGTGCTCCGTGCCGTCGCTTTCGCCTCTTTCCAGTGGGAGCCGAGATCAGAAGGGGAGAAATGGGGCCGATGAGAGGGGCGGTCGCTTCATGGGGTAAGGGCAGGACGTTCTCCTCCTCCGCCGCCTCTTTGAACAAGAAGTGGGACGCCGTCGTGGTCGGCGGCGGCCACAACGGCCTCACCGCCGCCGCCTACCTCGCTCGCGCCGGCCTCTCCGTCGCCGTCCTCGAGAGGCGCCACGTACTCGGTGGCGCAGCCGTCACCGAGGAGATCGTCCCCGGATTCCGCTTCTCCCGCTGTAGCTACCTCCAGAGCCTTCTCCGCCCTTCCGTCATCCGGTATCCTCCACGCATCCCCCCCAACTCCGAGTCCCTCATTCATTTCTTGATCTCTTTCTTGATGTCGCTGAAGGGAATTGGAGTTGGCGAGGCACGGTCTGAAGCTTCTTCGGAGGAGCCCTTCGTCCTTCACCCCCTGTCTCGATGGGCGGTACCTTCTTTTGGGCCCCGATGCCGGTTTGAACCATTCGGAGATTGCTAAGTTCTCCAAGAAGGACGCATTGGCTTTTCCAAGGTGGTGACGTCCTTTCGTCTCTCCGTTAAAAACCTTTTGCAGATCTATAACCAAACGGCAGCAATGGCTTTTACCATATAATGTCTCAAGAACGTAGCTTGAGGCGGCAAAACATATACTCAATCAAATTCCCTCAACATATGTTTCTTTCTTCACTTTTGAAACACAACTGCCTCATGAACCCCAAATATTAGCAGCATAACTGGTGTACTTTTTGCTACCGAAAGGTCCGGACTCTGGAGAGAACGTTTAGTAAAAGTTGGAATCCAAGGAATACTCATGAGAGGTGTACAAGAGGTGAAACTATTAGAATATATGTTGACCGTGCTAATATCACATGTTGTGTATCGACAAAGATCTTGTATCCTGTAGCTCTCAACATTTTACATCAGGACATATGAACCTACATAAACTATAGCAATACATACATGGAAAATTACATCACTATACCTGCACTTACATAGAAAATTATATGAACTTTAACTTATTTTTCTTTGTTATTTTCTCCATCCTAATACACTGGGAGTATACTTTTCATTGAAGGTTTTATATGCTGTTCACTCATGTACTTTGTAGGAATACATAATTCAAGTGGAAATACAGTGAATTGATGCAATGATAAACTCACATATGGCAGCAAGAACCTGAAATACAGTGAACTGATGTGATGGTAAATTCACATATTCAAGCAAACATAGATTGCCTGAAATTTTGAATTCGACAGTAGTATGATGCAAATATTTAAGAACCTTATGGACCAAGAATCCTGTGTAGCATATGCACTGTGGAAGCAAATTGGAGTGGTCATTAACAAAAACATTTACTAGTTGTGCATGATTTTGAGTGTGAACACTATGTAAGACATATATTTCCTATGATCCATCTGTTCAATTTCATAGTTTTGTATTCCATATAACAATCGTGAAGTGTTGGAGTCATAAATTTTTAGTTCAAGTGAGGCTCCCACTACTTGCATATGGCCAAGGCATTATCAGTCTCTTCGTTAAAATACAAAAAACACAGAAGTTTCTTGTTGGTAGTGGGACTATTTACTTGATTAGGATTTAATCACAATATGTCTGTTAGTACCTAATAGTTTAGCAATAAAGATGCCCTATTTTGCAGATATGAAGAGCAACTAAAGAAATTCTGTGAATTTATGGATTATCTTCTGGAATCATCAACTCCAGAAGTTAGGCACGATGTTGCATCCCTACTATTTCAGGTGAAGGATAAATTACGAAAATCCACATTCTGGGGTCATATTCTCCAACAAACTGTCACATTAGGACAGAAGGACATGTTGTAAGTTTTTGTCTTTACTTTGCATTATCGATCTATTTTCTGAATGTAATTTAGACATAACTTCAGATATACTGTTTGTTTTTGCTACTGTAGTTGTGCTGTACTGATGTTAACTGCTGTTTATTGCTTGTGATAGGGATTTCGTGGATCTTTTGCTTTCTCCAGCATCAAAGGTTTTGAATAATTGGTTTGAGGTTGTTCTCTTTACCCATCTTTTGTACCAGTTATGTAGTTCAACAATTAATATTATTTGTCCCTCTTACAAGGTCTAAACTCATGAGTCAAGCTATAAATACATCACTCTTAATATATAAGTTTAAGTGAGGATATTTTGAGTAATATTTTATTCTGCAAAATTGGTAGCTCTGGACCAATACTTTGGTAATGAATCAATAGAAAAAAGTTGAATTTTATTAGCTGTTCCCATGTGTTTCTTATGTATAATTACATATGACTAGAAATATGAACAACTTTTAAAAGCTTCTGCATTAGATAGTGTGCTTTTTTGTATTTACAACTTTTTCAAGCAAATCAGTGTTTTTCATAATATTTGTCCACATGCCTTTTGAGAATTTTAACATGTAGATTTTGGTCTAGAAATTCGGTTTTTGTTTTTTTATGGAACCCTTTCTATTGGTTGCAAGAATTTGATCACAACTCAGTATGTCCAAGAATCTTTATAACATTTTGATAACCAGATTTTGATACACTGAGCTAGATGGTCTTTGAAACCCAAGACTACCAAAGTTTTCTGTGTTCATGTGCCAGTGTGAGGAAGTCATACTGGCATCTGGCTATGATGCACTCATATTACTGCAAATTAACTGGAATGCCAGATACAAATTGCACTAGGCCACCAGCCATATTTGGAACTTAGTCAAAGCAATCAAAGAAAGTCAGCCTTGGTTGAGACAGTTACTTGAAAATGCTCACTTGTGGAATTCCTACGGACATTTTTTGAGCTTTTATAAACGAACATAAGTATATAGCCATTTCATAATACGTTTCTTAGCTTGTGGCTCACCGAGGGTTATAAAATCTGAAAATAGAGTTACTTGACAATAGATATAAGATTCCCTGGTTTGAGATAGCATAATTTTTTCAAAGTCATTTTTCCAGAGGAGTTTTAGAACAACCATTGAATTTTGAGAAATAAGAATGACAGATCAACTCTTCTGCTGCTGCTAGGCATTTACTTAAATTAACCAAATGACAGGAATGCATGAGCAAAGAAGATTCCCTGGTTTGAGATCTTATCTATCGTAATTTCTCTAAAATTACTTTGCCAGAGGAGTTTTAGAACAACCATTGGATTTCAGGAAGTAAGAATGAATGATCAACTCTTCTACTGCTGCTAGGCATTTACTTAAAGAAAGAATGATTTTAGGTTGACTTGACGTTTTTTTAATGTAAAATTATGCTTTCATTAATTCTATCAGGACACAAAATTCAGAAAAAATTTAACTAATATCACTTATTGTAATACAACTTGTTTGTTTCTTATACAAATTGCTGTCACATGTTTACAAGTGAGTATTTTGAGGTAACAATGATGATCTTATCATTTAACTTTCTTGCAGACAGAGGTATTGAAGGCAACACTGGCTACGGATGCTGTCATTGGATCTATGGTAAGAACATCTTTTAGTATGTTTGTTGATTAATGTTGACAATTTTCTTTCTGTTTCACAAAATGATTCTTTGGAATTTGAGACAAGAAAGATTACTGTCTTTTTTCCTGAAGAATACAATTCCATGTGCTAGAGTTGCAAGTGGGATAACTCTTGTAGTGGTAATAAATAAAACTAGGTATCTGAGGCTCAAGACAGTGCAGCAGAAGAAAATATTGGTGTTGTTGTTCTAAGGCTAGTACGCAGTTATGAAGAAATTAAAAGATAATGTGTCAAGGAGAAGCAGAACATAAGTACATAATCCAATTCAGATCAGGGACCATTAGTTTCATCTGTAGTAAATAATATGATGGAATTAAAATTGTTTTTCTAGTTTGTGATGGATACATTAAATTGTAGGAAAGAAGTGTTTTGGAGTTCTAAATTTTATGAATGTAGTTGTTGCCTTCTATTTTTATGTATTGTTTATGTAAGGCTTGATGCAGTATTAGATGCTTTATGGCCATAAATACAAATTGAGGGTGTGTGCATTGTGGAAGGAATACAATACGGTTAGTGGGATTGCTGAGAGAAATTTAGGCTGATAGCTGCCAATAATGTATTGCTGCAAATTAAACTATTAGAAGATATGTGGTTGAGTGGTTCAACGATTTGACCTATAACATTCACACTTTGAATAGGACAGGAATGAAGTGTTATCCATTATATTGTTTCTTCTGTCAGCTGATAGCAGGATTTGGTCTACAATCAACATGTTAGTTGATATGCAATAGTTAGATTTGGGAATTTACTTGATTAATTACTGTCAGTATTAATTAGTATTGATGCTTCTATCCTACTATTTGTTACAGGACAGAGTTGTCTTTCTTTGACTAAATCTGCTTGATGCAATTGTTAGTCTTCAAATACTTTCTCACTGCATGTCTGTTTCTCTTGAAGCTCATGGAGTATGTTAGCCTATGAAAATTTTGCTGCAGGCAAGTGTTCATACACCAGGCTCAGGATATGTTTTACTACATCATGTAATGGGCGAGACTGATGGAGAACGTGGTGTTTGGTCGTATGTATCTACCTCCTCCTTTCTATGATTTGTTTTTCTTAGATGCATAAACTAATTTGTGGCATGTCAAGCTTAATTGATTTTGCAAGTCTCACTGTGTATAATCCTTCAATCTGAGTTTTGATGTAAGTGTATTGATACAGTGCTATACCTTGATATCTTACAAACAAATGGAACACAGGACTTGTATGAAAATTAACATCTTCCATTTTGTTTCTTCACCAAACAAATCCATATAGTTAAAGCACCTTGCAGTCTCCCAAAAGTATTATTCTCTAAGATAAATGTTAATGTTTCAGGTATGTCGAAGGAGGAATGGGGTCAGTATCATTGGCTATAAGTAATGCTGCTCGTGAAGCAGGTGTGCATGTTGTGACTAATGCAGAGGTAACTCCTCCTGAACCACTTTTGTAACTCTTATTAATCCCCTTCAGTTCTTTGCCATTTCGATTGCATTCTGAAAATACTTTGTTCAATCATCATTGTGTTACTTTGTTTAAGCACTATAACTAGTGACTCATGCAGGTTTGTTAGTATTCCATCAACTCCTTTAATTTATTTGTTTGAAGTAACTTGTGCTCTGTACCATAGACATAACGGTTGATTTTTCCTTGTTATTTAGCTAGCTTTGAGTTCAATTATGATTACCTGGTTCATTGGGCAACCTTATAATTTCTGGTTTTAAAGCCTTTAGTTCCGTTAAATAGGTTGATCAAATTATAATTGATGAGAATACTGGAGTGGCCACAGGGGTAAGTCCTGTCTAATTTGATTGCTTTTAATCTGATTAGAACCTTGAGTATCAATGAACTTTTGAAGCAATCACGCAGGTTGCACTTCTTGATGGAACAAAGGTGCACTCATCATCTGTTCTATCAAATGCAACTCCATATAAGACTTTTATGGTATGACTTGTGATTCTCTATATCAACTGTCATGCAATTACATTGCTGGAATATCGGATATTATTTTCATGTTTTTCCTTACCCAGGAACTAGTGCCTCCAAATATACTAACCGAAGACTTTCTCCGTCTTATCAAGAATATTGACTACAGCTCGGTAAGATTCTCCTGTCAGTGTTATGTTATCTCATACATGATTAGTCATAATGATCGTTACATTGTTCAATGAAAATCATAAACTAAGTAATTCATCATTTCAGGTCAATTTTGTTTAGAAAAGATCAAGAGCAACATTGATATTAGTCATTAAGGAAAAAAAAAAGGAATCAGAGTTGGGATTCCTAAATCAGGGTATCAGGGGATGAGGAGAAAATAAATGAAAATTACAAAAAGAAAAATAAATTATAATAGAGCATATATTTTTGCCCAAATTTCTACCTGTCTAGACTGTTGGATCAGCCAGTTCTATGCAATATATTCGCCAGGCCCTATCTATCAATCAAACTAAGATCAATGGACTTTGAAATATTGATTTGCTTCAATTTTTGTTGTACTCAAATTTGATTCACCAAACTTTCATACTTGAGAATTTAATTTTATTCTTGAAGGCTCAGAGGATATAGCTTGTAATTATTAGTTTAAGACTGAGTTTCTGCTTGCTGTACTACTATCAATTGAAGTAAACCTTTAGCACGAGCCTAGAACTCAAGTTTATGGTAAGTTTCTACTAGCTTTAATGCCAAATAATTTTGTAAAAATTAGCAATTAGCAATAGCTCATTGAACATGCAGTTGTACTAATTTCTGTTGCTTCATTTCAGGTTACATAAATTTTGTGACATGCTTCTAGAAATCTAACTTCTACATAAATGTAACAAGATTTGTTACATAAATCTTGTCGACAAGTTCACCTATTTTTTTAGATTTTGTCTTCTAAAGAGGACAACCTTGGTACAATGCTAGTGTTGCTCATTTGTGTCCTTTGCAACCTGGGAGATGTGTGTTTGAGTCATGGAAACTATTAGGATCTTAATGACACTAAGAGGGGTTTAGGGAATCAAGGCATTATGCAAGTCTTAACAAACTTGGAATTTCAATCGAGAAAAGCAAGTATCAGAAACATACTTAAGACAGTAGGTAAACACAAGTGAGAAATACAATCCAGAGATAGAGAGACACGATTTATATTGGTTTGGTATTTCCGCTCTATGTTCACTTTTGATTCCTCTATCCTTGAGGCATTCGCTATGCTTTTACAGCATATTCCTTTTCGAGACTCAAGAGAACCTTGTACAATCTTTTACAAATTAGTCTTACCTCCTACCACTTAGATAATTAAAAAAGGTGAAGGAAACTCAAAAGGCTCAAAGAGAGAGTTAGTATACTTTGCAAACTCAAGGATGGATTCTCCACCAGCCAAGCTCGAATAAAATACTTATAGCACAAAAGGCCTCAAAAGTGGGGCCAAAATGATTAAGTTACTGTAATTTCAGGTATTGGCGTTACTAATGATGACTTTGGATGATGCCACCATCATAATTTTTTCCTAGGGTTAGAAAAATTAACCAAGGTAGTACAACCGTCAACAACTTTGACAATGTACCAACGATGTTGTTGGCTGACTCAAGTCGTACCATTGCCTAAGCTGGTGGGACCATTGCCCCTAAGTAGTGCTAGGCCATGTGTTTAGCCCAGTAAAGGCCCAAGTTTGACCCAAATTCAAGCCCATTTGTTGCCACAAGTTGTCATAATAAGTAGACTTTATTCTCTCCCAAAGATAGCCAAATTCGGCCTAAGATGACTTCAACCAAGACTTTTGGCACATCCTTGAAACTTTTGGCATGTCGTTGAATCTCCTGGCATTTCATATAATCTTTTGTTGCATCGCCCTATCCTTTGATATATTAGCACGACATCTTATCCTCCGGTATGATGGTCGATATTCCGGTATAATGTTTTATTTTTGGCACATTAATCAATCCTCCGGCTTGATGTTCATTGATCTTCTAGTACATCGATTGATTCTCCAACTTGATGTTTGACCTTATGGCGGTTCGAATTGTTAGTCAAAGTATTTTCTGTATCACTTATTTGACATTAGCTTTTTAAAATTCATCAATTGATCTCATCATCAAAATTCGAGATTTTACAGAAACATCTCTCTTTATATTTAGATGTAATGTAAGGTTGTGTACATTGATCCTCCCAAATTCTGCATTGGTATGCCATTTTATTCTGTCTTCTAAAGTTAAGATCAACTTCGCTTATGATGCAGTTGCTTGCATACAACAATCACATCTACTATATATTTTCAAACTACAGCATTGCCAAATAACAGTTTGCATGCAATAAAGCACAGTACACATCAGTGATCAGTCTATGATTAACCTTGCTTTTGATTTATTTTGAACCAAAAAGTTTATTGGTCTCTACTGTTGAGTTACGATAAAGTAAAATTTTATCTTATGGTTTACTTGATGTGTTCAATGCAGTCATATTGTAATATTCTATTCTTTTATTTCAGTAATTTCTATTGGGATTCCTAAACCTTTTACTATTTTTGCTTGGCCTGTTGTTTAGTTAACCAATATGTTGTTGGATTTTAAATAATATTACTTGGTAAATCTAGGAAAACTCTTGAGCTTGCTTGAAATTTTAGTTCCATTTATATTCTATTTTGATGGACAGGGAACAACAAAAATAAACCTTGCCGTTTCTAGGTTGCCACAGTTTGGGTGTTGCAATGCTCATGTACTTGAGCCAGGTCCTCAACATGTGGGTACCATACACATTGGATGTGAAAGGTACACTGAGTTGCTAACAATAGAAAATTGTTTTTCCATTCAAATTGGTTGATGACCTATTTTTGTCTCCTACATTGATAGAACACGCACATTAGCCTCATACTAAGTTAGCTTTTTCTTAACATATCAAGATGGACATCTCCATTTGAATTGAATCATTTATGTCAAGCACCTTATAGCTTGTACTTAAAGGGAAATTTCTCTTCTGAAATATCGAGCTAAACCACATCTTGTAAGACGAGCATGTTTGGCGAAGGCTTTCCAAATTGTAATATGGTCAGCATTTGTGATGGTGAACTCTCGATAAGAATTGGATGAAAGGAATTCAAGTAACTGGAGTTTGACTTGTTACACTAGAAACATTTAATGTCCTTTGGAAAATTGAATCTGATCTTGTTACTGAAGATGGTCAAAATCTGGTCCTTTAGGTCTAATGTCTAGAACCATGTGTTTATTTTACAGCAAGTTACCAACCATTAAAATCATCAATTATACTTTATTAGTGTTTGTTTCACATTTGTGATTAATTGATGATATTGTTGATTGTAGGAACTGCATAAAGTACTGATAAGTATAATTGATTACTCTGCAACTTAAGGACTATATAATGCATAATGACTTCATGTTCTGCGTCAGCACACAAAGAAGGTAAGCAATCAACTTACAAACAAAGAACACAATCAATTATTTTTTCACCACCTGTATCATGTTGCTTATTTGGGTACATTGTGGTCCATTTCCAAGAATTAAAACCTTAACAGAGAACTATTTCCTTGGAAAAATATCTCATTTGTCATCTTTTAGGATAAGGAAGACAAACATTTGTATGTGTCCCAAAGAGGTCATACCAGGCTGTTTGTTTAGGTGATGTTTGAACTGATTAATCTGCTCTGATGTGGTTGATATGCTTCATTATATTATTGCACACACATATTAAGGAGGTTCCTCTGATTGCCCAAACAGCTTTTTCATTTAATTATCAGGCAGTGTGTCATGATTCAAGTATTAATCTTTATTTTCTGCATTTTTTTCAAGCATGGAGAGTATTGATATAGCTTGCAAGGATGCTTTGAATGGTATACCATCAAGAAGACCAATAATTGAAATGACGATCCCCTCTGCCTTAGACCGGACCATTTCGCCACCTGGTATGACAAAATTGTGGCTATAATTTGTTTAATATGTTGTGTTATCTGATTATTCTAGGTACTGGCTTCAGAATTGCTCAAGAAGCATCTATGTTAGCAATGGTATTAGATTTGATTGAAAAAAAAAAAGACTTGATCTTGCTTTATACTCTCAGCACTACATCTCTGCTGATTTGGTTCTATATAGGTGATTTAGTTGGATAAAGTTTAAAAGAATAGAAATTCCATTTTGAGGAATCATATAGCAGTCCCATTATCCCATATATGGAGTAATTGGAGTCATATGCACCAGTCCCATTATACCACAAATCCTGTTTGGTCAAAGGAAATTGTTCTTGGATCATATAGCAGATTTTGAGGAATCAAGCATTTGGAATTTGTATTATTTTTTAATGTCTCTTTGGCATAATCTATCCACTCCCTTGGAGCTTGATGACTACAGGACACATTTTATGTTTTAGGTCAACATGTGATTAATCTATTCATCCAATATACGCCATATGAACTTACCAAAGGAAGCTGGCAAGATCCTAATGTCAGAGTGAGTTGTATCTGTCTCCTAACTATATTGCAAAACAAAAGTATTTCTCATGCATGCTTCTTTTGCATCTTTCATGAATGTTGATATCGGTGCTCAGCTTTTACTTGAATTGTGATTACTCTTTGCCAATTTCAGGAGGCATTTGCTCAAAGTTGTTTCTCCTTGATTGATGAATATGCACCCGGGTTCAGCTCATCCATTATCGGCTATGACATGTTGACACCTCCAGATCTTGAAAGGGAGTTCGGACTCACCGGTAAGTCACAGTTGATCATATTAATTGGCATGTTTTGGCGAGTGAATCAGGTGGAGTGAAATATCTATATTTGTTTTACATGGAGACGTACCAAAATTGGATAGCCGGTACTCTTCCCATATATCACCAATATTTGATATTTTTTACATGGAGACATGTTTAACAGGTGGAAACATTTTCCATGGTGCCATGGGCTTGGACTCGATATTCCTGATGCGACCTGTCAAGGGATGGTATGCTCAATCTCTCTTTTAACATGCTAGTTTTGTGCCAAAGATAGTAGACTTGAATTTATATCACCAGGAAGCAATCTTTTTGTTACTACTGGTTTCGGGTCAACTCACGATCTTCATCGCACAGGTCGGATTACAGAACACCAGTGAAAGGGCTGTACCTGTGCGGGAGCGGAACACACCCCGGAGGTGGTGTGATGGGTGCGCCCGGTCGTAATGCTGCCTCGGTCGTCATCAATGACATGAAGAAGATGCGATGAAACAAGAGTGAATCGCTGGTGTCCGTCATCAGAGGTAAGCGATCGTCCTTTACGTTCTACCAAGTTGCTTGCCATGTATATTATGATTCAACCTTAGCTTTGTGGATTGATGGTAGTAGGTAAAGTGGGAGGGGGCAGCCCCAGATTGGTATCAAGTGAATCGGGTGACTGGCGAATGGTTTTTCCAGGGTGGAGATGATGCTTCTTCTGCTTTGGTTGCTGGACTCTGCTTCTTCTACCATCACCTATCGAGGCTAATAATGCATCGTTCGCTTTGTCTGTTTTGAGGACAAGAACGTGAGATGAGCACACGAGTGTAATGTTCGGTGCAGAACTAAACAGTCACTGTTGATACGTTCAACACATCAGTCCAATTTGCATTACAACAAAGTACATATCTCTCTCTCTCTCTCTCTCTCTCTATATATATATATATATATATATATAGGAATTCAAATGCCGTGGCTCTAAAGCCTGTCTTCGACCCTGCCAGCCACATATCTGTATGAAAGGGGAGAGAGAGAGTCTGGAAGTGAGAGGGATTAGAGGTATGGAAGCGTTCCGTCATTGACGGCACTGTCCTCGGGAATCAAATACTAAACTCTGTACTATTTAGAGTACATTTTATTCATCTTATAAAGATGTAGCCAACAAAGCGCCTGTAGCTCAGTGGATAGAGCGTCTGTTTCCTAAGCAGAAAGTCGTAGGTTCGACCCCTACCTGGCGCGAGGTGAGAAAGATATTTATTGTTTTTTTTTATTAACAGTATTTTTATTCTTTTTAAAATCATTCGAATAAAAAAGATTTTTTTTCTCTTTTATTGTACAATTTTTATTCGTTTAAAATCATTCGAACGATTAATGTTGAATTTTCCACTCTATGGATAGTGAGTGAGACCAACATCATCTCATTGTCCGCCATCTTTCATGTTTCTGGAACTGTTGCTGCTTTGGCGCAATAAGATCTCTCAGTACACATATATCATTTCCATAATTGAGAACCTAATTTCAGATTTGATACGGAACTGTTGTTTTACCTAAGCTTCAAGCGAACGCGACTAAAAGTCTGTAAACTAAGCACACTCCGAGAAAAGAGGACATCATCTAAAAGTACCCGAGGAACCGAAACATTTTAGACTACGAAATAAAATGCTGAATCGAAGAAGATGAATTGAGCACACCAACCAACTCCAACAGTTAGGGGGGGAGGGGGAAAAATGGGCCGAAAACTTTATACATCCCAACAAGGAGAGACTTCTGCCAACCAAAAAGGAATGGAGAATTGAGTCCAAAACTCTTCATACACACAGGTATTGATTAATCTGTATGTCCAATAGGGTTTGTTTATTTGCCTTCTTAGATCGTTCCGAGTCACTGTCAATGTATCGAAAGCAAATAGGGGGCAGATTAAAAGAAAGTTCTCTAACTTTGCCCTTTCAGCAATCTCTTAAAGACCAGAGCGAACAACTACCGACTCTCAGGTTAAATGCTTCGCTAGCACATCTGGCTTCCGGCATCAACGTTAAGGCCAGCATTTGTATAGATGGGATGAAGAACATGACCATCAATTGGATCAACATGCACCCATTTCCGACCACTAAGCTTGTGGCGTTCAAAGCGAACATGACCTTCTTTTAGCGCAAATAGCGTGTGATCCTTTCCCATTCCGACATAGTCCCCGGGATGGAACCGTGTACCTCGTTGACGAACTATGATGTTGCCAGGAATCACCTTCTGCAATAACATCCAACCAAAAACATAGCATCAGGAGACAACTGAGAATGTAAAGGGAAAAAAGGGAATGAGAAACAAAGGTTTCATTGATTGAACATGTATAGTTCAACTTTGTAACCTCTCCACCAAATTTCTTGACACCTAGGTTCTTGGGCCGTGAGTCACGTCCATTCTTTGTGGACCCTGCAGTCTTTTTTGTGGCCCAACGTCGAAAGATCAAACTCAGTCCTCCAGATACCTCTGAATCAATTCCATATACTATTAGATATACCTAAAAGCAGGTTGGCACCTTTGACAAATAAAGGTGATAATATTACCACTAGCACCACTATAGACGGTAACATTTGAAACGAGATCTTTGAGACCAACTCTTCTGAATAAGGTTGATAGAGACATTGTATGTGCTCCTGAAAGAGACCCCAAATGAAACCAAAATCCATTATTTTAATATCCTTTCCATACAAGTAAAATCAACATCCATTATTTAAATCTGAACTTGCTAATGAATTTCATATCTAGCTCCTGAACCAGGGAAAGACAACAAAAATTTCAAGGATGGCAGTAACACGAGACCAAGCTAACTTGATACCAAAAGAAACATAGATCAGTGCAGCCTTTGAATTCAAAACATGAATAAGCTTAAAACTATGCTGACAGTGAGATAAGAACATACAGAAACTGATTACAACGAGCTGCAAAAGAGGATGATTGAAGGAGAGAAAGCAAGTCCGAAATCTTTATGAACCTTTCAGAGAACAGAAAAAGAAATGACAAGCTTAAGCAAAGATGCCGAGCAAAATAACCTTGAATAAAACCCATGAAATCACACAAATTCATGCATAGTATTGTCATACTCGCTTTCCTATCTAGGTCATAAAGTGGGTCACAACCCTGGATGGTAGGATCGGATCCTAAGATAATAAAATCCTACAGTTTATAAAAAAAAATTAAGATAACATATACTTATAGTATTTATATATAACATTAGATTTAGTAACTCTCATATATTCTTAAATAATAATTACATTTTATTGAAATGAATGCATAATTTAATAGCAGCGTTGTCAAAGGTGCCAGACTCTAAAAGGTGCCAAGGTTCAGGGGGCTATATTGTCGATCGACAGTCTAAGGTTCAGGGGGCTATATCGTCGATCGATAGTCTCTTGTCGAGAGCCACTAGGAGAGAGACACAAGAGGGTCAAGGGGAAAGAGAGGAAGGTAGCGTCCAGGGAAGGGGCGAGGCACTGCCGCCTGTTGTTGCTGCCATTCACGAGAGTGCAGGCGCCATTGCATTGGGGTTGACCTAGTGCACAAGAGTCGATCATCAACCGCTTTCAATGCAACAAGGAGAGATGGAGAGGAAGATTAGGTCTTCTGTGAAGGTGTTGCACATGCAGGGACATCTCAAGGATTTACTGTTTTATTTGGTTTGATCAAACCAAAGTAGATCAAACCTAGATTCGATCAAATCATTAAAAGATCTGATCAAACCAAGTGACTCAAGCCAAATCTGACCAGATTTGCTGGCCTGCCAAAACCTATTGGGCCTTATTTACTGGGTTCGCTAAACCTATTCCCTGCTATCCACCTCGGGTCCATATCAAATACAGCCGAAACTTATATTGTCTCAAAGGTCTAACTATTTTCTCTAAGAAAGAATTTGCTTGCTTCTGAAGAGCAGCATTTTGAAGATGGATATTATGCCAAGGGTCGGCAACCTTGATTTTTGAAGCAGAGTACCCCTCTTCATCACATTGCTAGGTTCATAAAAACATGTTCAACTTAACAACATAAAATGAAGTTCTCAAATACTCAAGAATCTTCTTACAAATGCATACATGCAAATGAACAGGAATGTGTTCTTTAACTCAAAGAATGAATCTTCAGGTTCTTTTTGACATTAACATTGTTGCAGAAACGTCTTCATACATATAAAGGGTAGACACTAAGTCCAAGGTCCTACAACGGCATCCTCAGAAAAATGGTTTGTCAACCTTAAGGTGTGATGCAGGACAGGTTAACATGAGATCTTAGACTGAGTCTGGCTATAAGATTCTGTCTCCACTCTCTCTCTCTCTCCCTGTATATATATAAATATAACAAAATGCATACACATGTACATACATATATACAAATGTACATAAATACACACACACACACATGTTTTGAGGATAATTTTGGTCTAGAGTTTTATTTTGATTTATATTGGTGATAAGATCCTTCTGATAAAGCTTGACTGAGAAAAGTATCTAAGAAAAACTAAAGAGCAAATTTTGTTAGATCATGAACTTTTCTAGAAAAGGAAAGCTTTTTCTCATAGTTTTCTTATAGATGGAGGCCTATAAAGTAATTGATAGTTTGTTAAGAACAAGAGGGGCATAAAACTGCTTCTCCTTGATTTTGAGTTGAGGAATACAAGTTAAAAGTATTGAGAGACCAGTAGCTTTTATATGCCTCTTCTCTTCTCTTTTGATCTGTTCCCTCCCAGTTCCCTACCTACTGTATAATTTCTGCGATTATCTTGAGATAGTAATTTATAATAGTCACTATGTTTTATCCATTGGTTACTTTAAAATTTAGCATTGGTTAATTTATCGATCGCAGAACAGAAATTTCCCGAAACAAAATGATTCGAGAGCTATAGTATCAACCGACCAAAACCGAAAGCAAGAGCATCCTTGTTCCTCTTTCGATAGATCTTGGACGGATGTGGCTTAAGAAAGATGGGGGTTAGAGACAAGGAAAGGAGATGAAATAGTACCGATTTGCCTCGCCCAAAAAGTCTGGAGAGCTTGTCGAGCAAAGATTTGCCTCGCCCGAAAAGTCTGGAGAGCTTGTCGAGCAAAGATTTCCGCCGCCTTGGAAGAGAGGGAGAAGAGAGAAGGGGGTTAACACGGGGAGGAGCGTCGCCCGCACACGGCGTTACACGCTTCCGTCTCCTCCTTTGCGGAGCACCAGCCGTGGCGGTTCCGTGATGCGTTTATAACCGTCCATCAGGTTGATCGAGCTGCATTTTCTCTTGGATGCTCTATCTCGGGTCGAATCCGTATCAGATCCACTTAGGAGATCCAAAACTAAGATCCATATCCAATATTTTCGGATCGGATTCGTGTTTGTTATCGGATTTTCTATATATTTTCGGGTGCTAACGTAGGATGAAAGCACCAGGGAGATGGCGGCCGCGATAGGTGGTGGAGTTATCCAAATGCTCGTCTCTCGACACCCTCCGTGGCGGATTCCCTCTCGACCATCTGCTCTCCCATTCGAGGTGGAAGAAGCAGTAGCAGAAGAGGTAGAAGGAGCACTTCGTCCTCTTAAATCCCTTCGTCGAAGCGCGCTTCTGCTGCTCGCCCTCCCCGCTCTCGTCCCCGCCCCTTCCGCGGCCACCGCCCTATCCATTGGCATTCGTGCGCATCTCTTTCCTCCTCCCTTGGCACAAGCCCCGGGTTAGATGTTCCTAATTCGAGCTTCCATTGTTTCATCTTTTGTGTACAATCCGAAGCTGGGCCAAAGGAGTGGCTAAAAGAACAGAAGAAGAAGTCCGCAAAGTTCGTTCTTGCTCCAATCGAAGCCTCGCGGAACACCCTCCGCTCCGCCTTCGACCTGCTGAATGGTTTATTCTTTTCTATCAAGTTTGATCTTTTCTAGTCTGTTTGTGATGTTTGATTGTTGATGGCAGCACCGGATTCGCAATCGACAGCGGTGAATTCTGAGGAGATGAGGCGGCTGCTGAACTTGGCCTCGAGGGATTGCGTGCCACTGCAAAGGAGCTCGCTTGTGCAACTTCAGTCACAAACAGGCGTGGAGGTATGAGTAACTGTTGCTTTCTTCCTTTTTTGTTTGGAAAGTTGTTGTAAAAGAAAAAAAAAAGTCATGATTTTGAAATCTTAAAGATGCCTAAACTCATTCATTTATGAGTAAAGGAAACAGTGAATTAATTTGGATGTTGTAAAGGAAACAGTGAAATCTTAGACATTTTTTCCATGCAGGTTTGCACTTTCCGGTTGATTGTAAAGAATGCTGCCTCTTTGCTTGATAAGAACAATCCGGTCAAGTTGGAGGCAGAAGTTGCTCTTGATGATCTAATAAGGTATCTACTTTTGGTGGTTAGAATGGTGGTTCAGTAATTGTATCTTGCATTTACAGTCAAGCTGTTTTACATCTAAAAGGATCAAACAGTCAAGCTGTTTTACATCTAGAAGGATCAAGGATCTTGACCTTGTGCTGGATTTAATTGCATTGGGTAAGAAGTTGTGTCACTTAGCTACTGAGTTTGTGTGGTCTGTAGTGAAGGCCAGAATAATACAAAAGCAAAAGATATGATATTGTTACCAACAAGCTTTGTACCACATTTGCTGTTGAATTATTGTGATTACCATCAGTTATTTACTTTCATAACTATAATATATAGAGTCTGTCTCACAGAGGAATATTTTGTAGGTCATTTGGTCCCTTATACTTATTTTCCTCTAGAAGTTTCTGCATTATATTCTGGTCAACATGCTTTTTACTTGATTTTCTGTTCAAGTTGTGTTAAAATTGATGCTCACTTGTGCCAACTCTAAACTCATTGCAAATTTTCTGAGCTATTATTATGATATAAGATCATACAAACGTCAAACTGTTGCAATTTGTTTACATATATGTTATGGCTTTTGTTTGAAGTGGTTACTATTGGCTCAAATATAAGAAATTTTGATCATGTCCAAATCAACCTTTTTGCGTATGGAACTAGGATCGCTCTTTCCTCCTCAACATTCTCGTTATGCATTATTAGTAGTCGTCTAATATTTCAGCAAATGCCATTGCTTGAAATTGATGCAACTATCTGTTTTGCTTCATCATAACTCCGACTGGAGTGCAGTGCTTTCTAGTTTCTGACAAGTTTATGTAACCATATTATACTAAGCAGAATTACATTTTCATGATGATAAAATATCATTATCAATGCAGATCGTTTTCCTTGCTTGGTGATGTTATCATTGATGGCAACTTTCAGCTCGGAGCAGATAGGTATGTTATTTTCGTCGGGGCATATGAAAAAGAGAGCATTGAGACACAAAATTTTTCTTTTTATGGAATCAACTATTGATTTTTTGTCTCATGCTACTGATTTTCTTCTTGAATGAAGGATTTTAAATTATGTTGCTAGTGTTTGTCTTGCTGCTGGCATAGCTGACTGAATATTTAGGAAGATTTAATCTGTATTGTCTATGTCAAGCTGATATGATATGCAAGTGTTTTGGTTTTTCCTGACTTTTACTTTTGTTTCTCATCTGTATCATACTACTAGTTTCTTCTTACATAGGACATGAAAATTGATAATTGACTTGTGGTTTGTTGCTTGCTTGGCTGACTAAATAAGTTCAGAAGAACTAATTTGTATTGATCTTTCCTGTGTGTTGCAGAGAAAAGGTGAAAGATGGGCTGGCCAAAACAATTTCCTCACTCGATAAATTTGAGCAGGGCATAAAGGAATGCTTAGGTGTTTGATCATTGCATCATCAAGGAGAATCTTTGATGATTTGAGTGCTATCTCATTCTTCAAAATAACTTGGACAAACGTCACGGTGGTCGCTGCAGCGAAACAATTGTTCCAGCAACTCCAACTCTGAATTCTCCACTGCACAAGTCCAAAGTACTCTACTCATTTTCTTGTTTATTTTCTTTTGATTTGATAATCGTTTTGGTTCCGTGGTACAATATACATATATGTATTGTACATTGTGTTTAATAATTTTGTTTATCCTTTTTGTGATGAATGAATGAATATTTATGACTTATGTGATATTCCTTGCAAAAAGTAGTATCAAGAAGATCGACTTAGCATTTGTAGCTCAAAGGAACCATTTAAATTATTTGGCTTTGTACATTGCATCTTCAGAATTATAAGATGATCTTGCTTCCGTTTATGTTGAAGTGCCTTTCCTAGCAAGTAGTTTGCATGATTGCCCTTTCTAAGTTTCTATAGCGACATGTCTTGGTAATGATCCATCCACTTAGCTGACATAACAGGTGAAGTTTCACTTATCAAATTGAAATAAGTTCCAAGAAGGGCAATTCTCCAGACTCCATTTTAGAGAATTAAATTCCATCATATGAGTAATTTAACCGGTCAAAGAATGATAAGGAATGCATTTATTCAAATCGAGGTTTATCGTCTTGATCCCTGACCTAACAGATATGTAACGAAGATCATCAACTATGAATCAACATGACTTGGTTCTATCCTGAAAGTGTAAAGTCATCCAAATGACTCTCGCAGCGGTCGAGCAAGGGGGTTGCTATTGGGGACGTGTTAGCCGAGGTGGACTTTAGGTATCCGAGATGGCTTGGAGGTTAGGCCGAGGTAGGTTCTAATCTCCTCGTGGATCTTTAGGGCATGTCGAGGCGTGCTTTGACTTTGACGAGGACCCTATACAAGAGGTTAATGTCGGGAGGATTTGTCAACCCGATCTCTCCAATCTTGGATGATAAAGTTACTATCCGTGGAGTAATGAAAGTAGGGGGTTTAGGGGTCCGGTCCTTGTTTAGACATTAGGGATCGATTTTTATACTTGCGGAGCTGACGGGAGTGGATTACAACCGGTAAGGATTGCTTGTCTATCCTACGATGTGGTTGAGCAGGCGATTGAGCTGTACACTTTCTGCGACACGAGTCAGCCTATTCGGGCTCTTGTAGCGCGGCATCGATCGGTGCAGTCCTATGCGGCATGGAATTGACGAAGTACAACCAAGAGAACGTCGCCTGCTGTCTCAATCCTTTTCTGCATCAAACGAGAGTCGAGCTCTCTTCCACACTTACTCCATGGTGGCTGCTTGCTGACAACCTATGGCTGGTGCTGGAATATTTGCTATCGAGAGAGAAGGATAAAATCTATTCTGGAGGGTTTAGATTGTCTCGTTTATTCCTAAATCTCTGGAGGTCAAATGCCTACGCTGAAATCGAATGATAAATTCAATCCCAAGAAGGATAAATTTCATGATAGTTGATGGTGGGTCGAATATTTTTGAAGTACTCGAGGGTGGTTGACATCATATGGTAAAACACTTGAGGAAGAAGAAAGGAGATCTATCATGATTGCTACACCTTTTATGTATAGAAGACATCATTTGGTATAAATGAATGTGTGTTTTTTTGGAAATCACCCATATAAGCTCGATATAAATGCTTCTGTTCCACGCTTTCCATCCCATCCTTTCTTCCACCAAACACCAAAAACAATACTCTATCGGAAAACTAATAAGAAAAAGAGGACGACCTCTCACCAGCTTCGGTCCCATGTCCACCCACCAATGTAGCAGTCAAAATCTCTCCTTTTCCCTCGAGAAGACGCTCTTCCCTTCTTCCATCACTGTAACACCGACACGAGCATCTGCCTCTTGCTTACCGCAGTGGCAATAAAAATCTCTTATTTTGTCAGGAAAACAGTTCTTCCTTTCGGTCACAGAAGACCCAGACGTTTCTGCTCTCTCTCTCTCCCCTTCGGGGCACTGGAAAGATACTCACCAGCTATTGGTTGGTTGTTGTGCCGTCAATCCGCCAGTTTTTTCTTTTATTTCCTGTTCGATGGGTTTCTTTGCTCAGATCTTTGGGCTTCGGAGCTCGATGTTATAGCTAATTGGTGGCTGTCGGAGGTCAATGGCGAGCGCTCGATTGGGGCGGAGCATAAAGCGAGCACCTTTGGGCTTCGGCACTAAGGTGTCGCTGGTGTTCTTCTTGGGTCTGGCTTTTGTTGTCACCTGGTGGACCTTCTCCTCCCCTTCCGCCTCGGCTGTCTCCTCCCAAAGGAGCAGCTTTGACGACATCGAAGCACTACCGGCCACTCCGGCGCCGAGGAAAGGGAAGGAGCAGAGCAGGAAGAAGGCCCATCAGAAGAAGCCTCCCGATTCGCTGCCCAAAAATGAAAACTCGAAGAGAACTGCAGTTGGATCTAAAAACGATAAAAAGGAGAAGGAGAAGAAGAAGGGAGGAGGAGGAGGAGAGATCGAGCAGGTGGCGGCGGCGAAGAACGAGACGAGCAAGCCAGAAGGGCAGCAAGACGAGGAGGAGAGCGAGGAGAAGGTTGATGTGGAGGGCTTGGAGGAGGTCACCGATAGCGAGAATGCAACCGACGAAGACATGGAAGAGGGTGTTGATGCGAATGCCGAAGACGATGCCGGTGAAGATAATTTGAAGAATAGGAGCAAGAAGAAGAAAAAGTTGGGACCTTTGTTTGATCCAAAGGCGCGATATACCTGGAAGCTTTGCAGTGGAAAGACCGGGCATAACTACATTCCCTGTGTGGATATGGAAGGCGGCCACCGACACCATGAGAGGAGTTGCCCTCGGACTCCAATTACGTGTTTGGTGTCTCTTCCTAAAGATTATAAACCTCCGGAGGCATGGCCCGAGAGGGAGTCAAAGGTGAGCGCTTCTTGTTCCTTATTATCTGATTTGTTCCGGCAAAATTTGATGTAAGTTGTTGCTGTAGATATGGTTCAAAAATTTGGCTCACCCAAAACTATCAGAAGCCATCAAAACTCAAAGTTGGTTGAATCTCTCTGGCGACTATCTTTTCATTCCTTCGGAGGAATCTGAGTTCAAAGGAGGTGCTCAACACTATGTCAGTTCAATTGAAGAGGTAACTGAACTCAACTTTTGCCTTCTTGTATGTCATAGTGAATGCGCTATCATCCAAATCACATTATCAACTCCACAATGCTAATAGTTTTTTGCCATTGTGGTTTGTAAAAATTTCATTCTTGTATATGCATAAAAGGATATTGGAATTAGCTTTGGAACAAAACCTATAATTTAGAGTAGTAAATGAATGCTCAAATCTAAATAGGAGATTCTATAATATTTTTTGCTTTATTTTATTTTGTTGTTTGAGTGTTGAAGGTATCAGCATGGTGGATTCCTAAATGTATGACAATGGACGAAAATTGTAGCTTGAGTGATTCATTCAGAGCCTAGATATTCTTATAACCTCTGCCTGTGGTTCATCACTTATATATGAATTGAAGTTTAGATCCTGTCTTCCTCTCCCATATTCTTATTTTAGGGTAGTTCCATTGGTTTGTCTCATTTCGATTTTGCTAATTCTGTCACTGAAGGATATAATATTTGCATTCCTTTTCATGTATTTTGCAGCATGAATCTTGCTTGTCTTGGTTCACACGTTACGGGATTAACCACCTATTATCTCTAAAAGACAAACTTTTCATGTTTAATACAATATGTTTCTTTCCTTATTTTAGATGGTTCCGGACATTGAATGGGGTAAGAACATTCGTGTAGTACTGGACATTGGGTGTACAGGTGCTGGTTTTGGAGCTGTTCTTCTGAAGAAGGACGTGGCAACATTATCGCTGGGTCTAATGAGTGATCAAACAGATATGGCCCAACTTGCCCTGGAACGGGGTATCCCTGCAGTGGTAGGGAATTTGAGATCAAGAAGGCTTCCTTTTCCAAGTAGTGTTTTTGATGCTATCCACTGTGGTGAATGTGGCATACCATGGCATTCTAATGGTTTGTATACATAGTGTATGCATTTCTAAAATCAGCAAAATTTGTCACTTTCATTGGGCATGCATTCAAACATTACTTGTGTGTCCTGTAGGCGGTAGGCTTCTTCTTGAGATAAACAGAGTTCTACGCCCTGGAGGATACTTCATCACATCAACCAAACATGGAGATATTGATGCTGAAGAAGGTGCCATATATTGATCAATCTATTCCTTCCTAAAATCTTCATATTCCCTGAGAATAATAATCGAAATAGAAGGGTCAGACTTTTGTGTTGCCAGAGTAAATTTCTTATCAACACGAGGACCACAACATACGTTTTTGTCTTCTCTGAAAACAACTCCATGATTAAATCTCTTTGAGGGCTAGTGCAGTATACACCACTATACAATATTCAAATTTCTATCAGGTGTATGATCTAGTTTGGTATTTTCATGGTGAAATGTGATGAGCAGACATTGGCTAATTCATCTTAAGGAAACAATATTACCCTTGTTAGGTTCCATTGATCCTAAATAGTAAAATCTGAAATTTAAATTGTCACCTAGTTTTATGATCAATCATTAATGAAATTAAGATTCATTTAGTTATAAACTGAGTATCTTTTTTCAATTGAGAATGATAATTTGCACTTGCAACTGCAAGAGATTGGCATGATAGTCTGCTCTTGATCTCAATCAAACATAGAGAAAATAGAAGTTCTTGGTGTTTGGAAATATGAGAGTGATTAGTTATATGGCTAAAAGATTTAGGGTTAGATATATGTCAGTTGGCCCATTCCCAACAAAGTAGTATTGAAACCCAGGGGTTAATTTGGCCTGGATTTTGTGAATGAGACTTCCATGGATTTGTCGGTTTAAATTTGGTTGAGTCAAGGTATGTGATTGGTTTTGTGTGCAATGTTACCATCACAAGATGGCTTGTGTCCCAAGTGGTTACTCCAAGCCAGTAAGCTGGTGTCTGATTCTCTATAACATGGACTCATTTCAGTCACTTGATGTGGAAACTATTTGACTTCCAAGGCTGTGTGATTGATTTGATAGCATCCTGTGCATGGCTTAATGGGGATCTGCATAGCTTACTCATGAATTAATGTTTGGACTGACATGAGTGATTAGTTGATGTAGAACAAAGTAGAGGGAAGACAGAAGTCGAGAGAAAGCAAGAGAGCAAGATAGCAAGAGAAGAGTGTAAGAGACTAGGAGAGAGAAGATGCAAGCATTTTTTTTAATTCAAATTTGAAATGTTTGATCCATTGAAAAGCTCCACTATTTGTAGGGGTTTAAGAGCCTTGGTACAATAAATGAAGGCAATGATTCTCAAGAGTAATCTCTTAGAGAATTACTATGACTTCTAGGATAACTAAATAGTAAATGAGTGCATGTAATAGAAAACGAGTCCTTATAAAAACCAAGAGACTTTTCAATTCTTAACACAACTCTTATAAATTCTAGGCCAATTAATTGATGATTTTTTTTTGTTGATTTCTTTGTCTAGAATAATTTTTTCTAAAATCCTTTGTAAAACTAAATGGTTCTCCATCATTAGTTCAATGTGGTTAAGAATTAAATTTGAGCTATCTTTCTTGGTCTCTTGCTTGTTTTCTTGAGCTTTTAAGTTCTATGGACATCCATCATATTGGTACTCCAATGGTTTGTTGCTGCCTTGTATGGAAATTTCTCCCTATCACCGAGATGTTTATTTAAATAAAAACATCTCTATGGCCTTATGCCAGTCTATTTTCTGGTGTGCTGATTTTATCGTTGCTTGTGTATCATCTGCTAGTGGAGGTTCATTTTGTTATTCTTAAATTGAGCAAACTCTGGAATTGTTTTTTAATAGCGAATAACCAGGTTGTCTCTTAAGTATCTATTATTTGAATATGCTTTAACTGACTGATGGTATAAGCAAGTAAAGCAACTATCTTTGATATCTCTGTTGATGTTATCTTTCAAGACTGATTTTTAAACTACTATGTTTGGCTTTAACATCGTGCTGTGTGTATTTTTGTTTTTTTTTTTTTCCATTCAGGCATGACAGCATTGTTGTCATCAGTCTGTTGGAATATTCTAGCACACAAAGCTGATGAAGTCAGTGAAACAAATATCAGAATATATCAGAGGCCAACATCAAATGATGTATATGAGATAAGAGCAACAAAAGAACCTCCTTTCTGCAGGGAAAATGAAAACCAAGATGCTGCTTGGTAAGCTTGGAATCATTTTCTTCTATCATAAATTTTCTTATTACTACTTTTCTGAAAATTTGTAGATTTGAATTTCAAGTTTCTTGGAATGCACCTTTATTATCATTCCACCTACAGGTACACTCCTGTAAAAGCATGTCTTCACAAAGTTGCAGCAGCTATCGAACAACGTGGAACTGACTGGCCTGAGGAATGGCCCAAGAGACTTGAAACTTTTCCAGAATGGTTAGCTGATTCAGAGGATAAGTTGACTAAAGATCATGAGCACTGGAAAGCTATAATTGACAAATCTTATCTTGCTGGGCTGGGAATTGATTGGTCAAATATTCGGAATGTAATGGACATGAAAGCAATAAACGGAGGGTATGTAAGACTTTCTCAAACTAAAAACTTTCTTGGTGCTCTGATTTGTTTCTTTCATTATTTCCATGTCATAAAAATTCAGTTCAGTCAGTGTGGATTTCATGAAGTTTGACCACTTGCATTTAGTTCTTGATGCTCCATTAAGATAAGGCAATACAACATATGGACATGCAGATTTGCTGCTGCTCTAGCATCTCAGAAGGTCTGGGTGATGAATGTCGTTCCTGTTCATGCTCCAAATACTCTCCCCATCATTTTCGAGCGTGGGCTTCTTGGTATCTATCATGATTGGTGTGAACCATTTAGCACGTATCCAAGATCCTATGATCTTTTGCATGCTGATCATCTATTCTCACGTCTAAAGAACAGGTAAAAATTTTCAGTAGCTGGGCAATATGTGCTTTCTTTCTTGATGTGAATTCTTACAACTTATCTGCCTGTAAAATGTCTACTTGCTGTCCAAAATCAGTAGCATGTGATGTCAAGCATAACGTAGCTATTAAGATTTAAGGTAATATTTTTTGTCATGTTGGCCAGATCTGAGATGTTTCTTCTAAAGTTAAAGCTCAATTCAGTTGATTCCAAGTATATCCGGAATGCAATTTGAAAGTTTATATAGCAATTTTGCTTTGATGCAGGTGTAAGCAGCCTATTGTTATCGTGGTTGAGATGGACCGGATACTAAGGCCAGGTGGTTGGGTCATCATCCGTGATAAGTTGGAGATATTGAACCCTCTAGAGACGATTTTGAGATCACTTCACTGGGATATCAGAATGACATATGGCAAAGACAAGGAAGGTCTGCTATGTGCACAGAAAACAACATGGAGACCATAAGATGATATCCTTTACCTTGTGATTCTCAAGTCAAAGATACTCTATTTTGGAGGAGACACAGGCCTTCTGTTTCCAGATGTTTATTCATTGTCTTTACATGAGGTACAAGTACAACCTTGGTCCTTCGTTGTCGATCACGGAACATTTTGGTGCCTATGATAGGCTTATTTTTATTCTTTGGAATGCATAATATCTATTATAGTTTTTTCTTCTGATCATTCTATTTGGACTGAAATTAAAATTTTCTCAAGCAAGATTTTCTTTCATTGTTTGCATCATCTGAAGTACAATCAGGTTCCAGAGGAGTCCCTTTAAATCTAACTTTCCTTTGTTAGTTCTTTTATGCTTGTGGTGTGTGAATTTGATTTGAGCCTTAGACAAATTTTCCTTTGGAAAGGTTCCAATCTTACTAGCCTGTATAATTTCAGTTGTTATTTTAAACCTAGTTCATGCGATGGTGTCGGAGCTTATGTCATAGGAAATGAAATGTGTCTACGAGACATTCTTGTGCTTGTAACAGCTGTTTTGATGTATCTGCCACATCTTATTTTGAGAGGAAAAAAAAAAGTGTTAGCTAGCTTAGGTGAGTTCCAGAGGAGAAAAAGAACAAAAGAAATGAAATAGGCAGCTTCGTACTGTTTGCGGCCTTTTCTGAAATAGAACTATGGTGGCCTTACTCTGCAGAAAGCAACACTCTTTAACATGGCGATGTGGAGAAACATTTTTCCATAATGAATTGAATGTCTTGGTTCAAGATGGAGAATGTTTGATATGGTAGAATCTGTATCTATCTATCTATCAAGTATATGTGGTGATAATTTTCATTATTTTGCATTGGATGTGTTGATTCAAGTTGGAAACATTTGATGTGGTAAAACCTCACACTGTGCTTTGTAATTTCTGACAATTTGAAGAAAATTAGTGTTACCATCTGCATTCTACAGTATCAAATGTTGTTTCTTGGATTTTTTTATGCAGTCTGTAGAAGTTCAGAAAATTTTTCTCAAGAAGATGACATCCATTGTCTTGAACTTATGATTTGCTCATCTGGTCAGATTAAACTTTTGCATGTTTTGCCCTCCAAAGAGGAATTCTTCAATAATATCAGGTAAAAAAAGTAGTTTTTGGATCAATTAGCAGCAGTTCAAAATATGTTCAAGCATCTACTTGGATCAATGAGCAGGCCAAAGCAATCTGATTGCTCCAAATCTGAAAACTTGGTTGTCAATGCCTATTGCCAGAAGCTGTGTGAGAAATGATCAGCAATCTAACTGCATATAAACTCCAAACTTTTCAGTGTATAATAGTGTTGAAAGCTCCACTGCCTTGTGACCTGTTTCTGGTTTGCACATATGATTCCCCATATGGAACTGCATGTGAGTTGTGACAACCACCACCTTCTTTTGACCTTCATCACTTTTGAGTGAGGTTTAAGCCTCCAACTATGTGCCTGAGTTCTTTATGCTAGTCATTTGGGTCAGACATTTACATTAATATGCTTGAAATATATTAAATGTTTTCTTCATGTTCCAAGCTTTGACTGATACTGAAGTAGAAAACATAATGGCAGATGACCCAGAAAAGAGTGGTGTTGATCAAACTTCCCTTTTGATCCAGATGAGATGGCTTGTTTTGACTGTTTCAGTAGAAATTAATCTCACTATGGGTTCGATCTGATGAACTAAGGAGGCCAGTTTGATAGTGATGTTGACCAATCATGTGACCATCTACTTCGGCAACAAATACAGGCGACGAACTCATGATCTCGATGTCCATTAGCACACAAAGAAGAAGCTTTGATCCAAAGCAAATAACTGGAACTCCAACATGAAAAGCAAATGCAAAAGAGAGCGAGGGATATGGATAAGGCCATGAACAGAACAAACATGGATTCAGGTACTTCTGGGAGGCTGTCTACGCCCTTTTGGTTCATCCTCAGCACCTCTCACTTTCTCATTATCTTCCTCTGGAACAACTTGGCTCGCAAAGACGCTTCCCGGTCGTTAACCGACATGGACTATCTTTTCTTGCTCTCCATCTCTTTCTTCTTCTTCCCCATAAGCAATCAAAATCCAATCTTCTTGCTTCTTCCTGTCGCAGATCGCTAGACGAAAAGCCAAGACTGATTCGATTTATGTACAGACACGAGCTTTCGTCCTCTGTCGATGACGTCCTTTCCTTGAAATCGCTATCCGCAGACGAAAACCGAAGCTTAGATCTCAAGCAACTCTTTCCAGCTGTTGCTCTGTTCATCCAAAGTAGTAGAGAGAGGCAAGAATACGAAGGAGGGAGGCAGTGGCGGAGCAATATCATGAAGGGTATCATGTAGCAAGGTGAATCGGTCTTAAGATTTTACAAGGGTGACGTGGCGTCAGTGTCACGTACCACATCACCCATAAATTCGAATGGTCGTGAATAATCGCTGTAGATATGGTAGATTTAAGACAAAAATGTATAATTTTGATAAGGCATATTGTGGACCAACCGATGCTACACCACGCCCCCACCAACTCAGCACGAGGACCCCTTTCACGCGCCAAAAAGGATCCGTACCAAAGCACTCCTCGGCACATCTTGTCCCGGAAAGCTCGGGATGGAGTTGTATGCCGTCGTTCCGTGCATTCCAGGACAACGGTCGCACAAAGGTACCACCTCACCCCTCGGGGATCGACCGTCATGCCAAACCTACGTATAGTCGATCATCGCACAGTAGTATAAAAAGTCCCTGACCGACATTTGGCCAGGAGAGGCGAAAAAAAAGAGAACCAAGCACTAACTTAATCGTCGAGGGGCCAAAGTCAGGAACCACCCGACGAGGGCCTTCTATGCAGGAGCGCGGTCACCCTCGGAAGCACGATCATCCTGACCAAGAGGCGACCTTGCTCAGATGGACTCGGCATCTTGATCCGCGGGTGTGATCAACCTCGACAACCTGCTAAATCGATCATAGACTCCCGACATCGTCCTGTGAACCAGGTCGTGCTGACTCATCAGCCACGGAACATCTATTCACCAATACTTTTAAACACGATAATTAATAAGATATTTTGGATATTATAAAGTAATATACTATGGAAAGAAGCTATACTTTTATTTTACTCTTTTCTTATTCACTTATAATTTTGGAGTATGATCAGGTGAAAGAAAAGGTAAGTAAAAGAAAAGTCTTGTAATCACTCCATGTCCAATCACAAGTCATAGATAGGTGGGACCTAAAGTGAGAACACGAATTCTGGTCCTTAAAAACTAGGGTTAATCAACAGAAATGAACCACCTTGGTTCGGTTACACATTCGAGAACTAATCAGACCGGTTCAAGAATTGAGCTCCGTGGTGGTTTAAGAAAACCCGTACCCGTATCTCTGCGGTGTGTTGGTAGTCCTCCGTAGGTCATGGATGCGGCGGCCGCACTTGCTTATACCGGCGAAGCTTGTGGCGCCGACGCTGCTGTTCTGTTAGCTGGGGACGATTGATTGGGCCCACCGCGGGAGGCTCTTCGTCCGGAATATAAAGACGACGGCACGAATCCAACAAGCCGAGACGAGTTCCTTTCTTGTCAAGAATCCACAAAGCCTGCCTCAGAGGCGGAGGAGCACAGGGGAAGAGAGGGGGCCATGTCGTCGTTGGATGAGAGCAAATTCGACTTGAATCTCCAACTCTGGGCTCTCCGGATCCCTCGGGAACACTGCACGTCCGTCGGTCGCCTCCTTCACGGGTAAGTGTCATTTCCATTGAGATATGCTTCTTTCTTCTTTACTAGTTTCATCAGTTTGGAATGGTATGTGGGAACTCAAGAAATAACTCATTTATGAGCTTAAAGAAAGAAAAGAACGAGGAATCATCACATGGGCCGGCAGGATTGCAAGGCATAAGAACTTTAATTAGGTGGAAAAATTTGAAGAAGATTTCTTTTTAGGAATAACTAAATGAATTATTAGTTATTAAGATGTGAAAATCTAGAACACAGTGTAGCATACAAAGTTAGAGGCCACCTAAGGATGGATCAATTGTTCCTGAAAGGAGTCTTGTACTGTAGAGCATCTTGTTAGAGAAATAAAATGTGACAACGTTCATTAAGAAGACAAGAATTAGGGAATCAATGTCTTTCTTGAGTTTCAATCAATATCGTAAGAGATGATGCATGGTCACTTTGAATTGACACATCACATATGAGGAGAATACAACATTTACATTACTGTTGGTCATTGTCGTTGGTGATACCAAGTCAAGAATAGGAACCTCACAACAATATCTTGCAGTGGATTGCAAGGTTTTCTAGAATGACTTTGTTTCCTCAGTTGAGGTGCTGAATTATATATATATATATATATACACACACACACGTGTGTGTGTGTGTGTGTGGAAAGCTGAGCTGACACATCACATATGAGGATAATACAGCATATACATTACTGTTGTGTATTACCAGTTTGAGGTCACTCCCTTTAGTAATTAGCCGAGATGGAGCATCCCTGCAAAGTTGGTGAGCCGTTGATAGGACCTACCTAGGTCCATTGGTGTTTATAAAGCCAATAACAATTGTTTATCCACTAGCATAATGTTGTTCTTCTAGTAGATTGATTTTCAAGAAAGTTTTAAATTCCTGGTGTAAATTGAGACATTGAATTTTAACCTCAAAAATTCAGTTTCGGTGTTTTGCCCAGTTTTGTTGATTTATGGTGCTTTTCTACTCAATGTTAGTAGAATGTCTAATCACTAATTTTACAGTGCTCCTCCAAATATAGCCCAATATTATCCTATACGACTATTATGTGGTCTGAATCCTAATGACATACTGCATAAGGGTGGAGTAGTAGTACTGCACCACTGAGGTGGATATTTACAGCAATGTTTTTAAAACCGTACCGTACCACCCATTACTGGCAGTATGTACCGGTCTGTCCCATACCGAGCCATCGGTAGGGTATGGTATTCAAAACTTTGATTTACAGATCCATTTCGGTGGCTTTAAAAATCCATCTTTTATCTCAAAACATGTTTCTTTTTCCATCCTATATTATCTTTCTTTTTCACAGTAGTCTCCAAGTTGAATAGTGGAAACTGAAGTAGAATTTTGGTCTATGTATCACATTCAAGTCTTACGTTTTTTTTTTAGAATTAGGTAAAGAGGAATCCTATAATTGATCAATCTGGAAGCCTCAAGGTTAGCATAAGTAGCCTACCTTTTCCTGTGGTACTGAGGTTTCATGTTTCGTAACATGCTCACCTAACTAAGCCAAAACAAAGCTGCTAAAGAATTAATGTACTTAATTTGGCCATATAAATTTCACTAGGCAACCCTTGGTTTCATGACACTATATGACAAGCAAGGACTTAAATATCTATCAACATTACCAGTCTGACCAAGTATTTGGTATCAGACTTATAGTTTGATGCCATTTTTTTAATATTTTGTTTCATTGAATTTTGTTAGCTTGATAAAATACATATACATTCCTTTTTTATTATTATTATATTAACTGATATGGGGCAGTACAGGTTGGTATACCAATCGTTTGCCAAAACTGGTGTCAGTCTGTAATTTAAATTCTTTAAAGCAAGAGACAGAGAGACAAAGAGAGCCAAAATTGAGGACATTTTATTTTGGAATAGTTGTTTGTCCTTTTGTAGTATCTGATATACTTGTCATCCTCTCTACCATTGTTCATTGTCATGTAATTTATTGTCTTTTTTGCTTATTTGGGCCAATATCTAGAATGCACCTGCGCTTGCCAATCTGGCTTTCCTCACTTCCAAAGTATGGAAATGTTATCTGTTATCAAATTCCATACTTCTACAGCATGGATGAACTTATCTACTATTACACTAAAACTGTACACATTGTTTTTCTTCCATTGCAGATATATGCTGGACAGAGCTCGTATCAAACCCATTGTTGAAGATCCAACTAGTGAGAAAAATCGTTTTGTCATACTCTCTGAAAAGATACAAAATTCTGGTGAGGCTTTATGCCTAAATATTAGAAATTGGTATTTCATACAGCTGTAAAGCTTACAAGCTCTTGTTTTTTTCTTGTGTTTATTATTTTTGCAAGTATATCTGCAATAATTATTCGGAGTAACAATAGTCAGGAAAAAATTAAACAAAGGAACTTAGTCGCCTGAAAGTATAGCAATATTTGTTTCTTTAATTTATGCTGTTTCATTATTGTAATTTGAGCATCTTTTTGCATGTATTTCAGCTAACAAATTTATCTTGTTTCTGCTACAGATTTATCTGAAATTCCAAGTTACGTGATGGATGAACTAAAGGTTCTATGCAACATTGAAGCAGTGCCATATTCAATAACACTAGGATATTCGTATTGGGGTGCAGGTTAGTTGCATTTGGCACTCTTCATGTTTAGTCACCTTATTAACTGTAGTTCCTTGCTATGGCTTTTTGCCCTGTTTCGTTGAGGATATACAAACAGTTATGCAATCATGGAAATATTACAATTGTTACAGTCTCATCCTTACATTTAATTTCAGGTTTTCATCCCACCAAATTACATTCTATTAGAAACCATGAGGGAATGCCTTGTGTAAGAGTTACTCTGGGGGCCACCATGAGGGAAGCATTAAAAACCATAGCCATTTACCACAGCTTGGAGATCTTACTATACTTGAAAATTGCATGGTTGATAATTCATCAACTTTTGTTTTTGCAAAATCTTATACATCTCAAAAGTGAAGATGCTACTTTCTGTAATTAATGTTTGGTCTGTTAATTTTATGGACCTTCTAACGAAAATTTGTACATTACTCACTACCTCATATCTTTGTGCAACCCGATCGCTTTTTTCCCCAAATTTTAGAATGCGACCTAGAAAATTCCTTAATTATGAGACCCACTATTACCTTTTTTATACTCCACCAAAAGCAACATCATACCTCATACTTCTTCCCAATGTTTTCAATAGGCTTAGGCAAGGCGATTTAAATGAGTGTGACTCAAGCGTGCGCTTGAGCCTAGGCTTTAGATGACTTAGGCGCACGCCTGACCTAATTGAAGTCTGGGTTTGGGTTTTACTTGCTTGGGTTTAGTTTATTTGAGTTAGTTGGTTTTGCTGAACCAACTAAAGTCTCCCACTCTCACCCCCTCTATCCCTTCATGCGAGCGAAAGAGAGAAAATCTACATCATCATTCATTCCTCTGCCACACACCATCGACTCTCTTCCTCCACCATACACCATCAAACATGGCCTTCCTTGCCCTATGCACCATTGCTGCTGCATTCCGAGGCCAAATGGTAATCATAGCAATGGCGAACAACTTCCTCTCATGGCAAAGGTGACCCTTCGGCAACCGATGGGTGGCTTCCTCGCACATAGTGGCCCTTAGGTGACCACAAGTTGCTTCCTCACACACAACGGCCCTTTGATAGTGTTTGCTTCTTGCGGTAACTCTCTTTTTCTTCTTAACATCTCACTCTCCCCCTTTTTCTTCTTCCCCTCCCTCATGCGGTTGCACCCCTCCTCTCGTTGAGTCTCCTTGGGCCCCGAGAACCCCCCTCCCTCCTCCGACCCAATTCCTTCTCCTCCCTCTTGTTCTCTTTGTTGCTTGCCCCCTCTCTTTCCTTCTTGTTGTCCCCTCCTTTCTCCTCGTTGTTGCATCTCTCTTCCTTCTCCTCCTCCCTCACAACACCCCTACACAATTGACATTCATCAAACTTCCCCTCTCCCTCCCCGTCCACCCCACCCTTGTTCTCCTCCTACCTGATTCCTCCTCCTCCCTCTTCTCCTTCTCTTTGCTTCTTCCCCCTCTCCTTCTCCCTTGTTGTTCCCTTCCTCTTTCTCCTTCACCGCTGCCCCTTCCCCCTCCCTCCTCCTGCTCCTCTCCTCTTCCTCCTCCCTGATAGCTCCCTTCCCAACTGATAGCCACCAAGCCTCTTCGGACCCCGATAGCCTCCACCTACATAATTCCTCCTACCTCTTCTCAGTAATTATATATATTAATTTTAATATTTGCGAGCACCTCTCTTTGGTCAGGCAAATGCCTAACGCCTCAAGCTTTTTGGCACATTGGCACCTTTTAGGGCCCAGCGCTTTTCAAAACACTGCTTCTTCCTCGCATCACCACCACTGTCACTTACCACCCATGGCCTTCTTTCTACCTCCTTTTCAGTAATTCTTGATCTTTTCCATTCGTACATTGACCATTTGACCTTACTTGCAAAATTCACACCAATATACCACATTTCTTCCAGCCAATGCTATTTCCTGGCAGATACAACCTCTACAACGACTCACAAAATTTCCCTACTTCACCTCCATTGCTACTTCCGCTTCATTAATCTTCATCGCTTCTAACAACTCGAGCTGCTGCCACTTGCAGCACCACCTCCATCTAAATCAATGATGATGCCTTCTACACCCAGTGCATGTTTTTACTCATCATTATCATATTCCTAGTCTCAACCTCCATTATCACATAATACATCACCATTTTGGCCAGTGTATCATCATTATTGCCGACATGGCCTTCTTCTCCTTGTGATCGCACCTAGGCCTTTGCTACAGCCTCCATCGTCTTCTGCACCTACAATGCTACAAGTACTCTTTTTTTTTAGGCCATTTCTGTCATCCTAGTAACCTGTTTATTCCAGATGAGGGGTGAACCATCAGGAAAGTAGAATGATACTTTGACATTTTTCATATAGCAATCATATAGGGGACCAAAGGTAAATTTTGAAACCTAGAATGATAAGCTGTTGATAATCTCTGGTTGCCTGACATGCATATTTCAATAATCTGTTTTAAGTCTTTGTTCTCTTGTTGCAGATCATATTTTAAAGCAAATACTACCCTGTGGAATGGAGGTACCAACTTCTTTTGAAACAGTAGTTAAGTTCCTTTTGATATCCATTCACTTATCAAAAAATTCTTTACCTCTTCTATTTTCTAATTCAACCCTTCTATTCGCAATGTCTAATTTGGTAAGGCTTGTTATGTTAACAAAATAGACTTTTTCATTCTACAGGACATGTTGCTCACTTGAATTTGACAGAAGACCAACTTCCTTACAAGGATGTCATCGCAAAGGTTATTTATGATGTATGTCTTACTGAACTTTTTCTTGTATTCATAAGTAAGCTCAGAGTTTCTTGTTTGCATCATACAACAGTAGAGAGCTATATGTCTAAGGAGTTGTAAACATTCACAGTGTCATAATTTTAGGGGTTATAAATTATAATCACATATATATACACACACACACTAAACGTCAGCCATTTCAGCACCCTGAAACCCCTCGAGTAGCACAGGGCTAGATGAGGCTCTTGAGTAGAAAGGAAGGTGTTGCCCCATACTTCGCTTGTTGTCCGTTGCTTATCGCTCGTTTGCATGGCCAAAAATGGTATGTTTTGGGTGGTTTTTGGGCCGTTTTCACGTCCTGCGGCGATCGTGATGAGCGGTGCGAAACGTCAGCCATTCTCAGCACCCTGGAAACCCCCGGGTGGAACAAAGCTGGATGGTGCTCTGGGGTATCAGGGAAGGTGCTGCCCCGTGCTTCGCTCGTTGTCCATTGGTCATCGGTCGCTTGCGCGGCCAAAAATAGCCTATTTTAGGCAGTTTTTGGGTCGTTTTCACATGCTGCAGGGACTGCGATGAGTGGTGTGAAACATCAGCCATCTTAGCACCCTAGAACCCCCCAACTGACTTTGTCAAATTCCCAGCTAAGGACCATTCCATTGTTGTAGTCAATCCAGTTCACAACACCAGCCAACCCCATTGATAGGGTCAAAGTTATCTTCCCAACATGATCCCACCAATAACATTTTCTTATTCTTGCTTAAGCTTGTGGATGTTTGACAAATTAGGTGCGAATAACACTGTTCTTAAGAAACATCCAAGAAGTGTGCCAATGCTGGAGCTATTTTTTGCTAAATAATCCACTCACTAGTGAGCTAACTAAGATGACCAATAAGTGTTACTGTTCTTAGATTATTTAGGCATAATGTGATGTGAGATAACAGATACAATGCAGAACCACATACTAGTTAGTGTAACTATAACATATCTTTCTTTCTGTTGCACCATACTCGATAGAAGTAAATGCATCAAAAGTCAATATCTAATTGCAAAAATACATAGGTACACCCATATAATGGAGTGGGGCATCATTCTTTTTGTTTTTCTCAACAAAAGAGCAGACTTGCCGGTGGATAATGTTAGATATGATGAATCCTAGAATTGCTGGAGTTAGACTATCTGATTAAAGACCATTTCAATTGCAAGTCTTAATATGTACTTTGTATGCTCCTAGGCTGGTGAGCACCATAAAACAGTGAATCCCTGATATATAAGTTGTGTGCATTTAAGTTACATTAGCAAATGTATGATCTGACCTGGATGAACAACTGATACTTGTTTTCAAAAGTAAATTTATTGCTTGTCCTTCCTGCTTTCTACTGGAAATTACTAACTTTAGATTCTTCTCTCTCTCTCTTTCTCATTCTTGGTGTATTTGTGTGTTTCTTCATCTGATCATTTCAAGTGTTGTTATATATGCACAACATGATATTCCAATTGCTTCTTTCCCGTCAATAGGAATTATTTGTTTTGAATGCTAATAGCATCATTTCTTTGATTAATTTGCAAAATTTAAGTTATGATCTGTTTAATCTCTCGTTTATTGCTCCTATATGCAGAAAAATCAGCCAAGAATTCTAACAGTTGTGAATAAAGTTGGAACCATAACAAATGAGTTCCGAGTGCCAACTTTTGAAGTTCTAGCAGGAAAAAATGATATGGTCACTAAAGTAAAGCAGTATGGTGCTACATTTAAACTTGATTATAGCTTGGTCTATTGGAACTCAAGACTTGAACATGAACACACTCGTCTGGTTTCACTGTTCCAGAGAGGAGAGACAATTTGTGATATGTTTGCTGGAATAGGTCCTTTTACCATTCCAGCAGCACAAAAAGGTTGTCTTGTATATGCAAATGACTTAAATCCTGATAGTGTTCATTATCTACGGATTAATGCACAGATTAACAAGGTAGAGGATCGTGTTTATACATATAACATGGATGCAAGGGCTTTCATGCACCATATAATGACAGTGCCCGATTCTGATAGTAAGCAAAAAACTGGAGAAGCTGTTTCAAAGGATGATCATTCTAAGGAATTAGCAACCAACGAAAAAGAAGGTATGGAGACTGGAAGAATTGATAACTAAGTCAAAAGATGTGCATGTTTTTCCTGCTACACTCATACAATAACTGTTAACCCATTGTAGTTGTTACCCAAGAAATGCTGAATGCTGGAAAAGATCATCAAGATTCTCTAAATGGTTCATCTGTAAAAGAAAACACTGCTGTTAAAAGACAGCTGGACAAGGCTGGCAATGGTATGTTTGCCGAATGTGCATGAGTATTCTTCATTTAAATTCAGCATAGAAATTTTTATGTTGAATAACTCCATGTTCCTGCTACAACAGTCCCTGTCCAACCTGTCAAACTGGTGTCAATATTAAAACAGAATTTATTACTTTTCTACTGAACTTAGACTAATAGAACTGCATAGTAAACTCTGTATTGTTATGTGTTGGACTCTTATTGTTAATATTTAGTTTTCAGAATACTGTGGAGATTTTGATAAATATTGCTATAGAGAAACAACAGTGGAAATTTTTTCTATTGGCAATTTGCCTGTAATTAGAAAACATCTCATATGAAAATACTTTCTTTCATGTAGATTGGATAAATCTGATTCGTTTTGCCTGTACATAGTAAGCACACAAGTTTGACAAACTGACACGGACTTAGCTGGTTTTG